CTTTTTCAGACTTGCCTACGAATAAACTTGTAGAAGAAAGTTTGACTGCGTTTACATCATACTGCTAAGAAGCCAATAATAGTTTATTTTTTATTCAAATGGAATCAAAACAATAAAAAAAAAAAAAAGTTCATGGTCGGATTCGATCCCATTACCCATCCGCCATCTTGAATTTTACAAAGCGAGAACGTTACTGATAGACTAAATCGGTAGTTTTAGGTGCCGAAAAGGTGCCAAGAGGTGCGAAAAGGTGCCGAAAAGGTGCTGAGGTGCTATACTAAAAAAAGTGCTTTTCCCCCCTTGACATGGACAGAAAAACACTTTTGTCCATGCAGGTCTCTAGTTCAAGTGCTTGGCAAGTACTTGAAAGTAAATTCAAAGGATTTGTAAGTAAAGTTTCTTGTAGAGAACCACCAGGGAATAGCTTCATTACTGTACCAAGTACTACTTCAAATAGTTCACTTCAAGTACATCCATTAAGGGATAAGAGCAGCAGAACCCGAAAAATATCAGCTAACAGCTGATTTTTTGGGGGGGTTCTAAATGTAGTGCCACATCTATCTGGAAGCGAGCTGTTCTTTGGCTGATAAAATGTAATGTCAAGTCCAGTTCTCTATACATAAAAATCTTGATATCAGCGTTTTTTCAAAGAATAACACAGAAATTAACAAATTCACAATTGTATAGATGGCGCTACTATCAGCGGAAACCCAGATGATCAGTTGGATTAATTATGCTGGAAGAATAAGTCTTTTATTTGTGTAAATCTCTGAAACATTTGATTATCAACTGTCACCTTCCCTAGACATTTGGATCAGAGGACAATAGGAAATTTTTCATATGCGTTTTAACATAACGAATGATTGTGCTGCGTTACTGAACGAGGCTACTGAACGACAAACTATTTCCTTGCTTTAGGGAAAGATTTTTGTAACTTTTAAAAATCGTTTGCTTCTCGTATGTGAAGAAGAAGACAAAAGATTAGAAAAACTATCAGATAGTTTTGTAATAAAAACAATATCAAGAAAGCCACAACACCATCACAATCTTAATCTCAAATTGAAGAACAAGCTGGAATCGTTAACCTCCAGTTTGGTCAAAACTGTAATTATACTCATAATCACTTCAAGAGAATAATTATAGTTTACCAATCAAAAATGAAATAACGGTGGCCGCAATAGGAACAACAACGACTATAAAGCGTAGCAATCACTGTATAGAATGTTAGTAGTCTTGAGAAAAGAAAGAAAAGGTAGTATTTAAAATACACGTGTTCGATTTTTTATGTGCAACTTAAATATGCAAGGGTGGTCTTATATCACCTAATGATTCAAAACAAGCACACGCAATTCCATTTTGTCATGAACATGAATATTATGACTGAATTAATGAAGAAAATAGTTCAATGTGGTTATGTAACGAATGCCGTGTTTTACTGATTATATCAACTAATCAAGATAACAATTTAAAGTTTAACCCATTAAGTACTATAGTGACTCCAAGGAATATTTGATTTGCTGTATCTTCGCGCTGGAACAGGCGAGATGTCTCACTTTCCTTGACTTTGTTCCTCTCAGAGACCAGTATACATACATGATTTGAAACAGTCTAGGACTGACTCCATACCGGAGACAAAGTCATAACTAGCGTTGAATACCATTTGGTCACTGGTGACCCCAATATGAAAAGAGGTAGAATGCTGTTAGGCAAGACTCCCATATCCTACTGTCTAAAGGAAGGAAAGGCCGTTGTATTTCTCAGTACAATGCATTTCGAGCCAGAGATTAGCGAAAAAGAGAAGAAACCATTGATGACATTGGATTAGAATTCAATCAATTAGAAGCGCAGCATTGATTTTTCAACTTCCAAATGTTTCTTTCTTTTTGCTTTTGTCGTATGAATCATCGCACTACTAAAAGAGTTTATTTAACTTGAAAAGAAATAGATGGCTTTCATCAGTTAATCTGTTTTAACCAGAACAGCGTTCTATCGTTTCTACTCAACAAACGAGTATTTTCGTGAACGTGAAATAATTGTGTTGGGTAAGATTGATATCTTAATATCGGCTTATTCCACATACATTTTAGATTTATCTATTCCACTGTCTCGAATATTGATTATTTTCATATGACAATCGACGAGAATAACAAAGTTGATGATGATAAAGTTCCTGAAGGAAAAGAAGTAAGAAAATGTGTATTCATTAGAATGAGTTCATTGTGGTTCGTTGTTAATCTTAGCCATCTTCGACAGAAGCAGATATACTACGTGATCAAACGAAAGATGTTAATGTAAAAACTTCCGCCGAGATAGCAGAGCCTACCGGTCCGGCATCTTCTGTTACTAATAATAACAATAGTGACGATGCTGATAATCGAAAACAAGAACCGACGACCGAATTGGACGAAATAGCAACTAAGCAAGAAGTAGCAGAAGAGCCCGAAAAAAAGAGTGCAAATAGTACAAAATCAAAACGAAAAAGCTCGTCTAGTCCAAAGAAAAAAGCAAAATCGTCTTCATCTACAATACCAAACGATTCTTCCCCAGATGAAAAAGATGGCCCAGTTCAAAAAGCAATCTCAACCGATGCTAATGGTGAAGAGAACGCAAATGAAGTGAATTCACCTTCAACACAGCCAACTGAGGACGAAAAGCGTTCGTATTTCTTGTTTTACCGTTTTACTATATTATCGTTTCCTTTCATTTTCGTTTTAGCACTTTTTGAACAACCAATTTTATTAGAAGGCAAAAGACGTCGAACAGCTACTGCTCGATTGGAAATAAATGAACTTACGCCAAAAAAAGAAGTTCAATTACCAAAAGTAAAATTGGCAGACTTTTCTATTGACTATATCGTTATTTATATCTTGTTCACAGGGAAACGGAAAGCCACTCGGCGAAATTGAATATATCAATTATCAAATTACGAATACAAACGGCGAACAATTGGTTCCATTGCAATACATATGTTTTGGACGAAAAGTGGTAAGATGAAATTAGTATTAGAGACGTTTATAACAGGTGTCCCAGAAATAATGACGCCGTTTTAATTTGCAGTTATCTTTTTCAGTTTTTGAGCTAGTGACCTAATTGTTTTTTCAGAAGATGCGCCTTGAAAGTACCTAAACTATAATTTCAGAACTTCAATCAAGACAACTCAGTCAACTAGATGAAAGTCTAAAAAAATGAAAACTTTCCAAACTCAACATTTTTTCGACTTGAACTTTTTCTTCTGCCACGATTTCCCCTAAAAAGTGTAGCAAAAGTGAGAACTCAGTTTATGTTTGATACTTTCAAATGTGCTCTTTCTCGTGGTCTGTAAAATAACTTTTTAGAACAGATAGTCTGCTGGAAAACGAAATTACAAAAATCCGAAAAAAGTTGACAATCTTCTTGTTTCCAACAATGTGCTCAAGCAAGACACGGAAAACATGATTGAAGTTTTGGTTCTGCAGTTAGATAGAGAAGAGTCATCATTTCTGATTAAAACAAAACAAACCCGATCGAAAAAGCTTTTATTTTAATGGAGTTATGGGACTTTTACTGAAAGCACTACTATACCCAAAATTTAAAAAACTAATGAAAAAAAATGCATGACAACCGACAAAAGACTATTATTTCGCCGTAGCTTTTTACCTGAAAAAATTTGAAGTATAGCTAAAACACAGCGAAATCACAGCTACGAAATGGTTAATTCAGTTTTTCTTACTTTCAAAACGTTAACACAAGAAATCATTTTTGAGTTTGGAAAATTTTCATTTTTTTAGACTTTCATCTAATTGGCTTAGTTGCCTTGATTGAAGTTCTGAAATTATAGTTTAGGTACTTTCAAGGCGCATCTTCTGAAACTGCAAATTAAACGGCGTCATTATTTCTGGGACACCCGTTAGATTGAGGTGATAACTGATTACTTCATCTTGGACGAGAGATGAGTCTTTTCGTGGGTCTACTCACAGTTTTTCCAAAATTCTTCTGTTTCACTGATTCCGATCCAGGAGTCTAGACGTGAGCATCTCCTCGACTTTCTGACTTTCGATCAGAATTTTCCTATTACTTTGCATCGTGGAAAAATGTTCTATCCGTTCATGCTCGTGTCCAACTCTTTCCTTTAGTTAATTAGTTATGATTAATTCTTATTGAATTAATTCATGGCATTTTTTGTTTACAGGCTCATGCGAATATGAAAAAAACACTTCGAACATTTAATGGCTTTGATTTCAAAAAAGGTACCAGTGAATATGAACGAACAATCAGTAGATTATTAAAGTACTATACGAGTTAAAACGGAAGGTGAGGTATAGGCCATGAATACTTTTTTGTCTTTCAGATATAAAAAATCACAATTAAAAGTATTTCTTGATGTTCTTGGACTGCATCAAAACGGTAGAAATGAAGAACAAGCCGAAAGAATATTGGACTTTCTTATTGAACCGTATGATGAAGGAAAAAAATTACCAAAAAAAGTGTCAAAACAAAGTTTGTAGTTATAAAATGTTGTTGTTTGGTGTTCTATGAAAATGTTGTTTTCTTCTTAGATTCTGCATCAAAAAAAAGACAATCGACCGACAGTAGTTCAAAAGCTTCCGGTATTAAACGAAATAATAAAACAACGTCGGAAACGATTGATGAATCTAATATGGATTCAAATGATAAAGACGATCCTATAGAAGACGATGACGATGAAGAACGGGAAGAAGAGGAAGTTGACGAATATGAGCCAGGCAAAGGTTTGATATTCCTGACGCATAAATGAAATGAAAAATTAGTTTTTCTATTAACGTACTTAGGTAAGAAGAAATCATCACCCAAAAAGAAAGTACGTTCATTGAATAATAAAAATAGTGCGTCAAAAGACAAAGGTCAAAAACGTAAACGTGGTATGCATAAGAGTCTATTTTAATTTTTTTCTTAAGTGTTCAAAATTTTATTTTTCTAGTGTCAGCAACGACCAAAGAAGACTCGAAAAAAATCAGGAATGACACAACAGTGAATGATGAAAACGATGACGAGAAAGAAACGACGAATGCATCAGGAGATACTAACGAAACATCTCCAATATCAGAAGACAATGTCGCAAACAATATAAAACACAAAAATGAAACAAAAGAACCAAGTGTAAGAGCACTAAGTTAAATGTCGTGTAAAAAAGTTGTTAAAGTCCATCGTTTGTTTTAGGAGGATTCTCTTCGTTCAACAGTAAAAAGAATTTTAAATGGAGTTGATTTATCAGGTGTTACAATGAAAAATGTTCTTAAAGACGTAAATATCAATCAAACTATGTTTTGTGAAATGTTCAATCTCTGACTGATTTTTTTTTTCTTAGGTTTATTCTAAATATCCTGACTTTGATTTAACAGACCGAAAAGATTTTATAAAAGATATTGTCAAAGAAGTAAGTAGTTATTTTCTTCATACTTATTCTAATTACGCTTCAAATATTCTCACGATTGTATTGATACGTTTGTATGGAATTAATAAATTTCATTCATAAATTCATCTTCTGCTTTTTTCCATTTTAGATGATATCAAGTACATAATGTGGTAATGAATGAAGATTTATTGTAAAAAAGGTGTCACATACATTCTCATCTATTCTTGTGTTTTTGAAGGTGATATTTTAATTCTTTTTTCCTTCTTTTTCTATGAGGATGTGTGCTTCTTGAACGAAATGATTATGTGTATGATTTGTTAGCTACGTTTTCTGTGTAGTGTCTTTTAACTGTACGTCAAAAAATGTTAGAGTTATTTGTTGGATAAGTTGTGTTTAAACAATAAAAGATTCTATACATTTTGTTACGAAAGTTCTTATTGTCCTTTTTTTTTACAATGTGTAGCTTTTGTCGTTGTTGTCATTGTGTTATTTGTGTTTATTTTTGCTCTGATATTGTTCTTTGTTTTTTTCTTTATATACATACCATAACAAAGGAATTTTGTACGGACATATGAGCCGAATCTTTTATGTTTGTTTGAAAAAACATTGTCTTCAATTTCTCTATTTGATTTATTTTTGTTGTCGATTTTTTGTTCAATCATATTGTATTCTAGACAGTATTATTTAGTGGTTGAGATATAAAGAGAGAGACACAGATGTAATTATCGTAAAAAATTTCTCGCTTGTAAAGTATAATTCTGTTTCTGCTGAGTGGATCAATATAGTTGTTGAGGCCTCCTTTAAGATGCAAACAGTAAAAAAAAAAGCTATTTAGCTGGGCATATATATCGGAAAGAAGACTGATTTAGTTTCCACAAATTTCTGATGAATTTGACAAAAATCGAAAATTTCTTCCCTATATATTCTTCTTTATATTAGATGTTGATAAAGCAAAAACCATGTTTCTGCAAGGTGTATTACATATTTTCTTCTTAAATTTGACATTCTCGTGGCATGTTCTATTTTTGAATGTGTGTCTTGCTCAACCATGTTTTCTGGAGATACATCTAAACTCATCTTTGGTGATTTTCGTCAGTTCAAAACCATAAAAAAAAATCGATTATATTTCTGTTATTGTTGACAACTTTTCGACTCTGAGATACACATGAGATTTTGAGAAAATAATTTTTTTCTCAGCTACCTCCTGGATTTTAATGAAAAATATTGTCAGTAGATTTATTGTTAAAAAACTTAAAAATGAAGGTGTAACTGCGAATTCCTTCCAGTATAGACTTTCATACGCACTTAACTTTGAAAAACTTCTGGCTTTAGTTTGAATCTTTCAAAAATTATATCAGATCTGTACTAACCGTCCTATCTCTAATAGATACATAATTTTCATAGTTCATCTGACAACAACTGTTTCGTAGCAATGTGTTTTCAACTGTCGGACCAAAGGTTCGTGAAGCAATTTTTATCAGTCACCGAAAGCTATCATATGAAACGTTTAACACAAAGCTGTATGTTGTTGTTTTCTCCATTATTAGCTTGTAGACTTCATTTATGCTTAGATTTACATAGACTTGCGTACTGTACAGATTTATTTGTTTACTTTAGATGGAATATTCAGAAGAAGTCAAGGAATTATGCAGTTCAACGAAAGATTCACAAAATCTATTGTCACCTATATGTCAATGTCCAATTTGTTTTCATGATATTTTTGATGCACAAGAAATATATAAAGTTAATGCGTGTAGTTGTATGTTTTGTAGAAAAGTAAGTAAATTAGACAAATCTATTTTTGTTAAATTGAACGATATCATTATTCTCTTCGTTTCAGTGTGTTTATCAATATTGCACAAATCAATTAGAAATAAAGTAAATAGATTATTTTTGTGTTTTAACTGTCGTCTCATAATTCTATTTTTCTCTTCTTTCCAGCTTTATACCAATTGCTTGTCCAAATGCAAATTGTAATGGAATTCTTTCAATTAATGAGGTAAATTTCATATTCTAAATTGACATTTTCCGTTCATTTATTCGTTTTTCAGCTAGAACCAGCGTTGAATACCAAACAGATTCAGCTATACGAAAAATTACTTCTTAATCATGGTAAATATATTTTGCATCTTTTGTTAACTAATATTCGTTTTTCTTTTTCGTAGAAGTTGCGTTAGATCGTAAAAAATTGTTTTGTCCAGGAGTCAATTGTGGCCAAATATGTACTATTCCAGATGAAAATGACCTTACAAAAAAGGCTCCTATTACATGCACAAACGTAAGTCAACATTGTACGCACAGTTTAAAGTTATTTTTGACCTAGATTTTTGTTATTAATTATTGATATTTATACATTAGGTCTAATCTCAGCTTATTTAAAGAAATATAGTAAACTAAAAGTTTAAATATAAAAAGTTTTTTCTTTGAGGAGAAACTTTGTGAAAGCAAGCGATGCTATACGTAGATGACATTGGTTTAATTTTCTGTTTTTAGTGTAGATTGACTTTTTGTATTAAATGTCGAGAAATTTGGCATGAAGATCGCCCCTGTCCTGATGATGGGTACATTTTATCTTATACTCTTTAAATTGATAGCTGAACAAAATTAATTGTTCTCATTTACTTTAGAATTCCATTTGAATCTGAGGCAGAAGCAAGCATCAAACGTTGTCCAAGGTAGGTGAGACTTTATATAGGCATGCTCGTTTTATAGAATGAATTTCTTTTTTAGATGTCAACTTCCAATTGAACGTTTAGTCGGTTGTGCACAAATGTTATGTCGTAGATGTAAGCACATCTTCTGCTGGTATTGTTTAACATCTCTTGATGTAAGTAAACATTATTTTGAAAACAGACATGATTGTTTCTTTTGTTTTTATTTAGAATGATTTTTTCCTACTACATTATGAACGAGGTCCATGTCGAAATCGCCTCGGCCATACTCGAATATCCCTTTTTCTTCATAGAATAACAATTGTTGGAATATTTGCTGGACTCAGTGTTTTACTGTTAATTGCCACACCATTTTTAATATTAGCTACGCCTTGTATTATATGTTGTCGGTGCAAAGAATCGAAAAGTCGATCAGGTTACTACGCAAAATGGAGACGACGTTTCCGTGAAGCTCGTGGTCGCCGTGCGTCAGATGAATTAACAACATTAGAAATTGATCAGTCGACGTCTTTATCGAAAATAGAAACAGCAGCATTTTCTACTCCTCCTATTTTCACTACTAGAACTGATGATCATCTTGAAGTTTCAACTGAATAAGATCTATTCTAAACTTCATTTCTCTTTTGAAGGTCTATATATAATTTTTCGAAATGCAATAATATTGATGTTGTGTTTACTTTTGAATCTGTAATTAATTTTCTGTCTATTTTTATTTCTCAATTTCTCGCCGGACTACTCTAAAGATGATGTGCAATGAAGAGAAAATATACACGTGATTCTAAACTGTGAATACTACATATTTGGAGAAAACTATACATTGAAAACAGTAATAAATAATTATTGTTTTTTCGTAACTAGTCCTGTTTTTTTCACGTCGATAAATTTTTATTGTTAATATAATTTAATTTCTTTTTTGTTTTTATTTTTTTAAGCATAACGAATTTTATGTATTTTATTTGAAAATGTTTTATTTGTTTTATAATTCAACTAGTAGTAGTGTGAAAATGTTCTTGTAACAAATCTACGAAATGACTCTTATTGAAAAATTCTTGTGAAGATGAAATGCCAGTGATCACCTAATTTGCTTTTTTTCTCATGAACTAGACATTACAACTGGAACGTTAAAAACTCCCACTAGAGCTCTGTATGGACTCTAAATTCTAAGTCCAGTCCACGATTTTTTTGTTTTTTCCTCGATTCAAGTAAATCCAAAATTTTTTTCGAGTCCAGACCAGTCCATGGTCTTGAAGGTTTGAATCCAGCCAGTCCGGCCAGTTTCTTAAAAAAACTTGAAATGAAAAATTAAAATTCACTTAAGTGACGACTTAATTGTGTTTCTCGAACGACAAACTTAAGTGCAACGTAGCGTTAAGAAGAAAATTTCTATTAAATTTTGCTTAAGTTATTTTTAAGAAACGGGCTCCTGGCCAATGACTCCCACTTATAATTGAAGGATTTATAATCGTTATAATTTGTGTATTATCACTGAGCACAGCATGTATGAATAAACGTTTTATTTTGATGAAAAGAACAGTTGAAAATGAATGGAAATGGAAATGCAAAAAGTTTTACAACTGTCTACAACGTAATGATGCTATTTAAAAGAATGTTAGCATTTTTCACTGTTTCGCTTGTAATTGTTTAACTAACTGGATATAATTCTTTTCAGCTTCTTCTTTACTCATTCCTTTATTTTTGTTCCATGCGTCCCATTTCGCTTTTCCTTCAAGATCGAACATGCCAGGTTTCGCTGTATTGACATCTCCAAAATTCACTTGTTTGAACCAACCATATAATTGTAATTTTTCTTCATTAGTTGGAGTTTTTGACAACTTCTTCACATCTTCAGCTGCTTGGTTGAATTCTGCTGACATATTTTGTTTATTGATTTTACTAAATTACAATTATTTATAATCTGTAAGAAAAAAACAAACGAAATAGCAAATCTTTGATTCGTAAACAAAAACTGAATGAAATAACGATATATCTGATGAGAAAAAAAGTTCAAAATAAACTAGATTTTATAATTAATACACAATTCTAGTTTTCACTTTACACTTCATCTACCGTTAAGAAAAAATACAATGTTGCATTTCGTCTTTCGCCTAAGATATAAAGAAACAGATAACGTTAACTGTTCGAACAATTTCATTAGAAGAATATATAACAGATAATAGAAATATATAATATATAATAATAGAATCTCCCGCGATATTGAGAAAAAGTCTTGGAAATCGGAGATGTATAATTAATCACTTCACTGATCGAAAGAGGATTTCATTCAGCGAACAGACAGAGAAGATGCGCTTATATCGAGCAATTTCTGACATTTTAGCAATAAAGGATATACTAGATGGAACCTTGGATCTCACAAAAACAGTTTTAACAGTCTATTTCTACTTATGAAAACAGCTACGATTAGCGAGATCTTTGATAAGATAAGCCAAAATGAAATGGTGCTGATGCATTCTATGCACGTATGTTAATGATGTAGGCGTTTTCATCTCAGCTTATCATCTCATAATTGTGATATTTACTATGCTACGCTATAGAAGGCGACCTAATAGTACATACCTCAGCAATTGTGGGCTATTAAAGATGTGAGAGTAGAAAATGAAATTCCGTGTTGTTTAAATTCGAAAGTTTCATCGAATAAAGTTGGGTTATATTACTGATGTGACTAAAAACTACACGTCCACGTCACAACACGTGTTCACATACATACCAAACTACAAACTAGCCGGCTGGAGTCTACACTAAAAATTGTACAATCAAACAGTACACTCGAACAAGAACAGCCAATAGAAAAATGTACGATTCATTGTTCTATTGTACAATTTTTGGTGCGGACCGCCGCCCGGTACTATTGACGTAGCTCAACCCAGAGAAGTAAATGTGGAGACCCCATTATGATTGGCTCAATGCATCGGTTATATCTGTCAAAATGGAGGTTCGACAGTTACAATAAACAAAGCATGGCTGCATCGTAGCAACTGTTCAAAAGATGCGAACATTGATCGGGCTATGCGTCAAATACTATAAAAAAAGTCGCACTGAGACTAATGAGAAAATAAAACCACAGCTATACAAAAGTAAACTCTATCACAAGAAAATCATTCGATTCATACCATTTCTGTAAATTCTACTAGTGATAGAGCTCTAGCAGTGACGAAAGGAGATAGAAAGAGAAAAAACAGTGGACGGCACACGTTGAAAACAGTATGTACACTCAGTTCTCACCATAGAGAGGCCGAAAAAATAGACTGCATACGGAAGTACACTTTACTAAAAATTATTCTAACCGGCTGTTAGTCATAAGGATAGTGGCTGTACCACAAATATAACGAATCCAACTGTCGGCGTCCTACTTCTCTGCTTTTTAATTACATTGAACAGAGATATTTTCGCCCTACTAGTCAATTTTGGAAGTTATAATGTACAGGTTCCTGACTTATTCAGGAGCTTGTTTCTCAAAAAAGCTTAAGTTTTGTTTGAGTGAAAAATTTGACATAAGTGAGATTTTTTTGCTAAGTGAGTTTCTTGAAAGCATCTTAACTTAAAAAAACTCTGTTTAACGTAAGTTTAAAGATAAACTTAAGTGTCCCTTGAGTACTACTTGATTTTTCCCTTAAAAATCCACTTAAATGGAATACTTACGTTTTTTTGAGAAACAGACCCTAGTATTTTTTCTGTACCATGTAGAATAGTATATAATAGTATTCATTGTTTAATTTGGATGAGGAATTTACTTTCTGAATAAAGCTAATTTATTGAGTAATTAGAATTAATTTTATTTTACAATTAATTAAAATATTAAAGCATCATTATCCAACATTAGAAGAGAGAAAAGCGAAGCTTCACCGAAATTTCACAATAACAATGAATAGAGAAAAATAGAGCGCGATTTCTATTTCAATAATGTGTACAAACAAAATATATTATTGTACAGGTTCGCACATTTGTGCATCATTTGTCGTATGTGGTAGTCTTGAGACGATTGGTCGATATGACATTCGATAGTCTGTATTAGTCGTAACGTTCGTTTTTAACAACTGACGCCACTGTAATTTAACGTATTCATGCCGCACAAGCTAAAATCAAAAGCAAAATATTCTAGAAATTTTTTAAGATTTTAATATGGCCATCCCCAATTTGCTCAAACACAAACACACAAAAAGAAGTGATGTGTTTAATACAAAAGGACAATTACAAAGGTGGTTGAATACAGATGCGTGGAGAGGAAAAAAATCAGTTTTTGTGTATGCACGTTCCCTGCATCCCTCTCAAAGACACATCTCTGGATGAGCAAACTTAGAAACGTCAATTAGGCTAAAAGTTACTGAGATAGGATGAATATATTCACTAGAACTAATGTAGGTTGTAAACTCTAGCCGAAGTAGCAAAATCATGCAGTGTGTTGTTATCCCATCAAACAAAATTAGCTGAACAACTTGCTTTAAATCATCTACTTACAACATCATCATTCGCAGACATCTAAATTGATAAACGAATGAAAGCAATAGCGCAGAATTACAAAAGGCAGGATATATTTGATATTTATTGAGCAGATGCGAACCGTATCTTGAAAGTATGCTAAATTACCATAACAAGAAAAGCTTTTCACTATTTTAATTAAAATCAAAAGCATAAATCTACTGCAAGCTCGTGATGTATATGAGAAAGTTGAAGAACGTTCTTGAACATCATAAAGGAAAATACTTTTCTTTTTAACTTTAAAGCAGATAAGCTATATAACAAAACCCATTTACTAGAAAAATGTTCATGTGTACTTCTAATATGTAAGATAAATACTGTATCTTTTAAAGCTTTACTAAGAGTATACTTACAACTTTATTATGGATGATTACACTCCTTCAAATCATGAAGTCGGTCGTACAAAACTTGGTGATCCTTTAGACGACAGACACTAAACTTACCATTAGATGCATATATATTCGACGTCGACGTGTTTTCGGTGTTTGCTGGTCTCGAAGATAGTTAACGGCTTCATTTGAATCAATATCGATGTCACGATAAGCAAATTTTAATACATGTCGAGGTAGACGTCTGTAGATAAATAAAATTTCTTCGTTAATCATGAGATAGTTTGTTGGATGTACTCGCGTATCAGTGATGAATGTAAAAAGGTTTACCGTTTTGGATCTCGTACAGGGGGTAATCTCGTATTTTCATCAGGCGTATTACTCGCTGATTGATTAATGTATGTGGGTTCAAACAAATTTGATGGATGTTCATCATCAATCAATGTATGAGCATTACGATTTTCACTACAATATGTAAATGATGAAAAGTGAAAGTGATGTGTTTACAGTAGTGCAAGAGACGCTAAAACAATAAAGGAAGTATCTGATTGATTTATTACTTACGTTTTTTTTGCTTCATTTTGATCAGTTAGTAAATCGTCCTAAATTATATTAGAATTTTTTAATTTATTATTTCAAATATCGCATTGAACCCTTCCTACTTGTCTATTTCCCATAATCGATGCTAATTTTTGTATGAGTGGATCGTTCCAAATAAGTGGAATAATACGTTGTGGGATCCGTGAATGTAAAAGTGGTAGAAACTTTGGATATGAACGATATATTTGTTGAATATATTGTGATGACTGTGGAGCACCATGAGATTGAAGCACTTTAAAAATAAAAACAACTTATTTATAAGTGATAAACACATATTTGTAAATCAAATTCTTACGTTTATCAAGTAAAATGGCGTGTGTTACATCAGATGATGTTCCAGTGGGAGCAGAAATATTAACCATTGACGAAACGATTGGTGAAGCAGCAGGTCCTTGGAGTAGAAAATCAGAGCCCTTAGAATGTTCTCTGTCTGTTTTCATAGCACTTGTTAACGCATTTTGCATATTTAATGCTTTGTCAATGTTTATTCCTAGAAGTACAAGAGGTGAGTGAGTGGATAGTTTGTGTTAAAGTAAAAAAAGACGATCTTTACCAGCTCTAGTTGCTTTCAATTGTGAATTGTCTATCATATATTCCGACTGACAGTTTCCTATTTGTCCCAATGATGGTCGATTATTAATTATTGGTGGTAATCTCGCCGAAAGAATATCATTATGTGTGTTTGTTGAATGAAGTTGCATTTGTGAAATATTTAACGCATCAGTGAAATACGGTAGAGATTGTGTTAAATCATTATTTAACAACGGTGATGATGTTACCGGTGTTATTCTTTCATATTGTTTATGAATTTGTATTCCACGAATAACTAGAAGATATGGTATTAATAAGTACATTTTATATTTTGAGATTGGTAATCTTATTATTAAATTTACCTAGACACGATAAAAGTTGGATAAATTCTATGTCGTGTAAGTGTCTATTACGGTTTAAATCCGAAAGACGCATGCGGGCAGAGGGAAAATGTAAATTATTTACGAGCATATGCGATTGTTCACCTAAAACACCATCCAATGAAATTTTATGCGGTATAAGACATGAACGATGAGGTGGTCGGTAGAAACCAAATTGTTTTGTATGTTGATCAATTATATCTTGTACAATATCGTGTTCTAACAGAAGAGGATGATCGTTATTATTGCTGTTATCCTGTCCAAATTGTCTTGAATTTGTATACGTTGCCCGTTGTTGATGAGGTATTTGTGGGAAACGTTCGAAATATACTTTACGTTGTGGTATAGTTAAATATTTCTTTCGTGGACGATCATTTGTATTCTCATCATCAACGTATAAGTCATCATCAGACTCTTCTCCTATGTATTTTTCATTTTGTTCTACTACAGGTGTATTATTTGTTATTTCATGTTTTCTAGATTCTAATTGATTACGTTTCTTATAATAATCCCACATTTCTGAATTGTTAGGCAATAGTTTTCCACTAAATAGAAATGAACACAAACGAATACATTTTTATCATTTCAAAAAGTCAATGTCCTACCGATGTTTGACAACATTGGTGTCTACATTCTTTCTGCTTTCTTTAATTATGGGTGCACTTGATACATCCACTTCATCTGTTGACGAAACAGCCGTTTCTTTTTTGTCATTTAGCGTCTCTATAGATTTTTTCTCAGTACGAATATCTTTAGAAGTAACTTTCTTTGTTTTATCACTAATTTCAATTCGTATTGTCTCTTTAACTGATTTCATACTACTGGGAGTGTTACTAGTGATCGTTGAGGAAGTGGCATCCACACGTTGAACTGGATGCGTAATTTTCATCACACTGTTTACATATTGTTCTTCTTTCACAATTTCTTTATCAAAACTTTCCGATTCATTCAATGACTGGACAACTTTTTCGTCTTCGTGTGTTGTAATTAGTATTTTAACATTATCTTCAGATTTTGTTTCACTTGTATCAAGTACTTCAGTTGGATATTGTTCTTGTTCAAATTCATTTGGTTGTTCTTTATCTGCCGTTTCGTCGATTATATCATTATCGCGTATTTCATTCTGTTGCTCCTCTTGCTGACCATCTTCAGCATCAACAGTTGGATTTTTCTGACTAAGATATTTTTGTAAACTAAAGCCCTCCGATGGTAATGTCTAGATTATTAAGATATTTATGAACTAAATAACCGAACATAGGACGTCAATACAATTAGCTCACCTCTAAGTAGCTAATATCATCGGCTATATCTTTTAATACGGTATCCGATTGAATTCCTGACAGCTTTTTCAATGCCTCACCACATTCTGTTCGAACAAGTACCTTCAAATTCGTAAAATACACTAGTTAACTTATGAATCGAGAAGACGCTCTCTTGTCAAATAAAATAGCGAAAATTTATTGGATTTTATCATCAAAAAAATTTCTGCATTTACTCAGATTTCAGTATGTAATAGTTTTATCAATTGATATCCAGGTTATACATACGTACTCGTTTATCATTAACAAATGCATCCAATAAAGCAATATCAGCTGTTTTTGTTTCAACTCCTAATTCACCTATTGTATTAGCAATATTTAATCGATGATCTGGCTCACTGTGAGTTAACAACGGTACAAGTCCTTCGACAACACGATCCGTTAGTTCATTTGAGAAGCCAATATTTCTGTAAAAGATAGACAAAACTGTCTGACTATTGTGTTTTTTTACTTAATCTACTTACCGTTGTAATTCAATTAGATATTTTGTGAGTGTTTTCAGTTGAGTTTTATTTGTTGATGGTAATTTTTCTAAAATTGCCGTCACCACATTTTCAATTGTTGGTAATAAATCTTTCGGATACCATTTTTCTTGTGAAATTTTTTTCAATAATGGATGTAAATCGCTTTGATCGTCGTTAGTCGTCTCTTGTTCAGCATCAGCATCTTGTACATTATCTATTAACTGTATTTCATCTTCTTGTCTTCTCAATGTGGCCACAATTGATTTTAATAAAAAATTTTCTTCATCAGCACTCTACAACCAAACATCACACTATCTATGATTACAGTTAACAATTTTTACATAAAAAACATACTCGAACAAAATCCATGTTTCTTAAAACTAAATCAATTGAATTTGAATCATTAACGTCTGTAATATATTTCACAGCATTAATTGCTTCATTAGCAACAATATCATCCTAGAAGAATAACAGTACATTTAAGTGTTTTTAAAGAAATTCAATCGATCATATTAATAATACCTGCTCCGATTTTGTGGCCAATTCAAGCAGAGCTAATATTATATTTTTACGTTCTATAACAAATTGTCCAATTGTACGAATTGTGCATAGTCTTGAATTTTGTTCCTCATTATCATTCTCACTAGTAGCCAAATTAGTTAATAAAATTGATAATATTTCATTGACTAATGTTGGTTCAATACCGTAAGTTCTGTTAAAAATAAAAAGAGAAAAGAAATTAATTCTGTTATAATCCACAGAACATTTTTTAAATCATACCGAAAAACATCGATTAAGTAGTTACATGCTAATTCATATGAGAGTAATTGTTTTTCTTTAATAACTTGTATTAGATATAAAACCATTGAACGAAGTGTTTGATCTACAGATGGATCCCACCATGGTTCTTGTTTCATTTTTTTAAACAAATCTGGAATATCATCCTAAAAGACATGTGATTACAGTTTGCTAAAGAAAAACAAATCTACTCTTGCCATCTAAAAGATCTAATGCATAACTCGATTAATACCTTTTAATCTAAATGGTAGCATCCAAAACAAACGTGTTCACGAATGTTAAAGTGCAAATAAATAATAATTATTAGATAATATGGCAAAAACACATTTTTAAAATTTATGTGGATTTCACACCCTTCGTTAACAATATAATTTAATCAAAAACATGCTCTTACAATATTTTTGATTAAATTTATACTTTTGTAAATAAGCAATATGTCATAAAAATTCACTCAATGTTTTTTTTAAAGTTAATTAAATTAGAATATTAAAAGCGATCAATATTAGAATATAAAATTCTTTATACCTCATTCCAACGAAAATTATAGCGTTCCTCGTCATCATAATCATCATCAATGATATTATCGACTACTTCATATTCATCGTGCTGTAAATACATTTATTCAGATTTCTTCACTATGAAAAGTTTCTACTCATTATATCGATTTTAGTTAAATAGTATCTCATTTTCAAGACAATAAAACACGCATCAGTGTGAGTTTTTGCGAGTTAAATGATCAAAATGTTTTATGGTTATCAGTCTGATAAAAGTTTTTTAAGAATATGGAGATGAAATGAAATGAGACTGAGAAAGATCAAGTTTTACGAGATTGTTTCATATTCCATCCTCAATTGTCAGTTTAAGATATTTCTCTTCTCAGATGTGTGTGCATGTAGACAACTTGCGATTGAGAAGTAATATGTTTACTATGAATTCTTGTCGTTCAATCTTCAGAAGAGGAGGATAAGGAAGGGAGAAGTTTTTACAAAATTACCTTTGGACCTGCTATTCCACTTGTTCCTGATTGTCGTTCTAAAAAGAAAATCATGTATTACTAATATCATTAGTCAATACAATAATAAGTGAAAAAATGATTTTATGTAGACAAACAACTTTTAGGTCTATAGATTTTAAAGGGGATATGACACGAAGACAAATTTTTAAAACAATGAAGAAATGTTAAAAGTTGTTTTTATAGAAAAATATATAAAATAGTTTACAAACAAACCTTTGGATTTCTTTTGAATATTTGATTGTTTATCCGATGATATCGATATGAATGATGCTTCTGGATCATTAAATTCAACAAATTCTTCGTCATCATCATTTTGCCAATTTAAATTTTTTTTTCGTTTATTCTTTAATTAATAAAACATTTGATTAGATAACTATGTCATAGAAGACATTAGAAATGTGTAACAGACTACTCAAATTTGTTGTGAAATTTTAGTTAAAAGTTTAGAAAAATTGAATTACATTCAAAAACCGGTTACATTAAGCACATATCAAACATGCATAACAACATCGCGTGCATGTCTTACCTGTGGCATATCAAGCTATAAGATAAAAAATAGATTTAGAATTAATATGCTTACAAAAATATTCAATAACAATGAAATATCATTAATTGGAGCAAATCGATTCATTTTCTCATTGTCATCATACTTTGTTGTTGCTTTTGCTGGGTATTGTACAGGTGTCTAAATCATGGACGATTGTCGCCATATCTTTTTCTCAAAAAATTTTGACTTTTTCATTTTATTTTCATTTTTATACTACTTACCCATTTTAATTTGAAAACTTTCATTTCTATTGGTTCTATTTGTTTTATTTTAAACATCGAACGTATCACCGAATTTGGAACAAAACCTAAATTAATTCAATAAAAATTAAATATTTTTTGTACTAATACAAAGAAATGATGATGATGATGATGATGATGATGGTGATGATTTAGTTTTCTTAGTATTCAAATATTCTTTTTTAATTCAAATATTTTTTTTTCTTGCAAGTAAGCATACCATCAGGTGCAATTGGCCACACTTTTTCTTCATGTGATAGTAATTTAGTTTCATTTTGAATTTTTTCAAATTCAAGCAATTCAAAGTAGCCCATTGTAGGTATATCAGATATGTCAGTTTTTGGTACATCTACAACAAATAAATGAGTAGCATATGTATTTATCTCATTTTCAAAAATATCTACCTCGAATTGGTTTTATTGGAACATCAAGTCGTATGGCACGCGCAGATCCAAGTAAAGATCTATAAAAAGAAAATGAATACAAAAATCTTTATTGAATGAATATATTATCACTATTTAATCATAAATTCAATGATATTGTTTACTAATCAGTTTTTTATTCTCATTACCTGTCACTATTACTTCCTTTTATTCTTTTATGTTGATTTGGTGAAGTTAGTTTAGGATGAATTACAGTAGTCATTCAAAAAATCTTATTCTTTAAAATATATGACAGCTGACTATGTTAAAAATGAAATATTTTCTACTCAGCTACTGTGTATGTTGTAGCTTCATCATTTAAAAACATTTAATAATAATTGGTTTGTTTAATATTGTTTTGTTTGAAAAATCAATGCCCTCTCTTGCTAAGTGTACAAAGTGGAGTACATATTATAATATTTTGCAAAAGAGAAAAGTTTTTTTTCCATTGTCATCTACACAATTGACGACAAAATTGAATTGGAAGATGAAATGGATTATGATGAATATTCCTTCTATGTGACTACTTATTTTTTCATTCCCTCTTCTCACACGTTCGAAAATAACATACTAAAAGATTTTAAAAAAAAATAAATTTTTAAGCAAAAATATTCAAAAATAAACCGCCTAGAGTTAAGAAAATCCCATATTAAACTTAAATAGAAACATAAATTTTACCTGTTAATGCATTAAAAGTCAAAATATACAGTTATAGGCTGTTATACTACAAGTCAAAGGACAGGTGAAAGAGGACACAAAATATCCACATAAAGAAGCTTAAGAAATGAATATTGTGTTACCTTTTTAGTGATGGAGATTTAGCATTTTTATTTGATTTAGATGATGCATAGTTTTCTTGTGGATATATATCGATTTCACGAGATTTACTCCGTGTAAGAAAATTATCAATACTTGGTAATTTTTGTAATGTTGTCATACGTTAAAACGAGAAAGTACAAAAAATGACTTTTCCGTATATTTTGTTATAACAATGAATTTTGGACAAGTGAATAATAATTTATTCTCTTTTTTTATGTTTCAGAGATTTCTCACGTTAATCGAGTGTGTATGTTTAATATACATTTGAAATTAATTTTTTCTAGTATTCAGAAACCTAATAAAGTCATCAACCTGCACAAACAAAATTTTATTTATATATTGTTTAACAATGATGATCATATCAGCTATGGGATTTCATAGAAAAAAATAGATTTGAAAAAACAAAAATTCAGTATATATTTATTAATATGAAAGAAAGAGAAAAATTAGAGTAAAATCAGCTGATCTACTTCAATATATAAATTTCTATATAAAACTTTTGAAAAAACAAATACAATAGATCCACTAAGATTCAAAAACTCAAAACACTTGTCGAAATAATGAAATTATTTTTCAATTAGTCTACATCATATTTGGACAATTTGTACTTAAAAAACAAAGCTCAAGTTAAAGCGTGAAAGATGTTTCCCAATACTATAGAGGATTCTATAAAAAGAGTGAATAGTAGTGCTCATTTATGTCAAATTTTTTGAGTAAAAAGTCTTAATGCTTTTTCTTAAGTTTACGATCATCTGTATACTATACTGTATTTATCAAGAGTAAATGTTATTTAACAAAAACTTACTCATCAAATGTTTTATTGTATTGCACTGGATACTCGACAGGATCATCCTAAATAAAAAAACAAAGTCTAGAAAATTGGTCATGAATGTCCAACATTTACTACTTTGTACATAGGACATTTCAAGAGTTTTTTCGGCCCAGTTTCCTAAAACCCGTATTTTGCGTGGAAATATTCTAGTATCATGTTTAGATATGTTCAGGATTATGTGCAAATTGAAGATTTACACGTCTTGTGTATCGTTGTATTTTGGATTCCTTTCAGATTAGTAGTACAGCATTTTTAATATGACTTTTGAACTCCCATATGAACAGTTTACTTTCAAATCGTACAGTTCTCAATTGGTTTATGAATTTCAATGAAGCAATTCCAGTGGCGAAGATGATGTTCGTTCAGGTCGCCTTGCAATTGCTGTCATCATAGTGCTCATTCAACGTACAAACAAATAGAATACATTCTCGGTATTGGTTCACCAGCAGTCAATTCAATTACTAATGACTAGTTTGAACATCTGCTGAGCACAAATTTTAAATAGTCATTAATAATTGAACTGAGGTCATATATTGAGACCAATGCCTAGATTTCTTTGTACGTTGAATGAGGATCATTTTCAATTATTGCTCGGACAACACTACGCTGACAGCAGTTACAGATAACATTTAGTACTCTCATCAACCTAAAACAGTTCGGTATTCAATTCTGTTGCAATTCGTTAAAGAGAAGGAGATTTATCAGAAGTCTTTAAAACTATTTTAACATAGATATAAAAGACCGCTCTTGAAAGGTCTTATTTTCTATGATAACAACACGAAGTCACATAGAGTCTGGATTAACAATGATTTTTGGCACAAAATCATGTGAAACCATACCCAAATTCATCATATTTTCTAGATCTGAATCTGTGTAACTTCTTTTTGTTTTCAAAAATCAAATGCATGGGATACAATTCGAAGATGACAATACAATCTTGAGTGCATTAGAACAAGTTATTGGCAGTACTTTGAAAAATTACGCTAGAATTAGCTTCTGAATAATTGTCTAAAAGGCTGGTGAAAAACTTGTGGAGTGTCCTTTGTAAAGGAAAATAATTTTAATTCTGTTTCGTTAAACGAATAAACGTTCTATTTAAAACTTACTGTAAGACAGTGTGCCATATACAGTTCTACTTCTTTTTCTTATAGAAACAATTTTGCAAATAGATCGATCGTTTTCTTCTTTTTTTAAAAACATAAAAAAGATCGTGTGACGTCAGTTCTATTCACATCTGAACACATCTCTCATTTGTTCAACAACCCTAAACTTTTTTTAATTGTATAGACAAAAAAAAAAAAGAAAACAAATCACCACGAACAATTCGTCGTTAGGTATACAACATATTCATCCTCCTTTTCTTTTCTTTTTTAGGTAAAAGCATTTCCCTTTCTTCCTTATCTATTTCTCCGTCTGTTGTTCTAAATTGATGTGTTCTGATGGTTTCAATGGCACTTTTGTATATATATATATATTTTTTTTTTTAGAATAAAAGATCCTCAGGTCAAAAATAATAGAGAATACAAAACAAGCGTATTATATATCTAAGAATGAATTTAGTTTTTGAATAAAAGACAAAAAGTTTGTCTTGTCCCGATGATGAACACATTATTTTTTTTTTACCCTTGATTAAATTTGATTTTTAGACAAATTATACGATAGCGTAAAAAGAAAAAAATATTAAAAAAAATATATAAAGTTTGGTATGATTGTTGTTGAAACGACACATTTAAGTATTCATTTTTATGTGACAAATTGTCACGTAATTTTAAATAGAAAGATGTATTAAAAGAAAAAAACACATACTGCAATTTCCTCCTAATTAATGTTTTTTTTCATTAAGTCTGTCGACATAATGTCACAAACTCAGAACATACTCTTTAATTCAGTAAAAAATAAGCTATTATTACAATGGATATACAGTGACTAGATATATTACAAAGATAAATTGGAATAATCTTCTATAATCATGAATTACTTCTTCTTTCTCATCTTTTATTTTCGTAGAACATTGACTTTTGTCAAAGTGTTACAAAGTTTTTCTAGTATATTTGTTCAAGAACTAGACATGAATTTCATGAAAAAGAGTTGTAGATACTCTTTCATGGAAAGTAGATGATAGTATTACAGTATTGTTTGTGTGTTCTTTTGAACTAAATAAAAATGTAACGAGTTAACGTTATTGTGTCTTAAATGTATACGTACGTCCGCTACGTTTTACTTCCAATTTCTGGAAAAAATAGAAATTTGCTCTGCTCTCATTTTGAAAAACTTTGAAATTTACTCCCAAATTTTGACTCCCGCACCCCCGACTTTTTGCTCTTCGTGGCGGCCTTAGAAATGTACACAGATTTGGAATTATCAATGTTCTGAGCATTACAGGAAATGTTTGATAGGTCACATTTTTCGGGTCATTTGCAGCGAAACACGCTTGAAAAACTTTCGAAGACATCTCATTATGAAGAAAATACTTTACTCTATAAAACCATGTATAAGAAATAGTTTCGAAAGCACTGAAAAGGCGAGAAAACCTTAGGAGACTAAATGATTAAGGTTTTGCACGTTTTTGTGTAAAAATTTAAAAAACTCACAGCTTTTCTAAGAGGCTCGTGGAATGCTGGGAGCAGAGATCTGTGTCTGTGTAACGCTGAACGCTAGTAGTTGGTTTTACGCCACCGAAGACAGCTAAAATTTTTGATGTTGCTTTGGCTTTACACGCCACCAACGATGATTTAAATTCTTCATCATTACGCCGATAAAGAACCTTAGCATTGGACAGAATAAGAAAAGAACATGTATAGTAAACATCTTTTCTTTTAAGAAGTTAAAAATCAGCTGAAATAAAAATTGGTTTGACTTCAAGAAACATTTAAAGTAAAATTTCGCCACCGATAGGAAAAAGCCTAAACGCAATCGCCGCTTTTATTATCGCAGATTTCTAGCTGTGAGGAATCTTATTTATAGCTCTGACTTGTCTCCACAGTAGATTATGCTTAACTCAAAATCGAAATTTTTTTCAGAAAAGAGGGGAATTACCCTTAATGAAAATATATGTACTAATGTAGAATAAATTCACAAACTGTCAAATAATGTGTTATGATATTCTCGCGACCCTTTCTCATTTTGTCCTAAAATCGTGATGTTTTTGAGTTGTTCAATAGTATTGACAAAATCGAGTGAATGTGCTCTGTGTTTGAGATGAAAATTATACCATTTGATAACTAAAAGCTTCAGCTACATTTCGATAAAAAACGTTTTTCAATAACTTTAATATCTCAGTGTAAAACTTAATCAGAAGCATGTGATGATTTTGCAGAGTCAAAAATTTTCTAGACTGAATATATACGATGCTACTTTTGGTCTGTTTAAGCTGAATGTATCACTTATGCCATCTATGTAAACTACGTTTTATTGCTACTTAATATTTGCCTAAGACTTTTGCAATATGGTGAACTTAAAAAGAGTTAAACTGCAGAAAGCATAGCACAGCGCTCTAAAATAAGTACCTGTTGAACGGCAGAACATGACTATTTTTCATAAAAATTATGGCTAATAAGCAAGATTGATGTACTACTCATCAGATACTTATTGTCAAGAACTGTACAATGGCAACATATTCTGTGCAGAATTTATTTCTCTTTAAACATACCATACTGAAAACATTTACTATAGAGTTGTTGAAAATCTATTTTTAATAAAATGTAAGCGAAGCACCTGGCATCAAATTTTCATCTATGCACTTCAATTACAAGGTGAGAAAAATTAAGTCACTCGACTGTATGAGTGAGCACTTTTAAATAATTTAAAAGATCACGATTTTAATGCTGTATTTCTGCAATAAACAGTAACTCTTGTTTTGTTTGCACAAATACACTATAGACAATTTGTTACATTTTGGTGAAAGCCAAGTCATGCCGTTTAGGAGAGAGGCTCATTTCGGTCATGTTTTGAGGTTCTTTTCACGACAGTTTTTTCCGAATTTAGCGGAGAGACAGTGTGCATCCACAGACATTTAGCAAAAAATCGAAATGCTTTGTTTTTCAATCTGAATATAGAAAACTATACTTCAAGGTAGAAATCGTATATTTCCCAAAGAATTTTTGTTCGAACTGTTAAGGATCATAAGAAAATACTGAGGCAAAAATTAGTCTGAAAACGCATCGGGATGTGGTAAAATAAGTTTTCCATTAAAGACAACCAAATTCAAAACAAAAACGACATAGATTATGACAAAATTAACGAAAACATTTTCGCAGTTTGGACTTCTAGTGTCGGAGAAACAAATTTATTTTCCATGCTAACCAGGTTTCCGTAGACGTGTGATCTATGTAAGGAGTTTCCGGAATCTTCCGAAGCTCCAAACTTTGGCAAAATGTTCGTCTGTATACAACATATCTAAAGTGCATGCAACTCTTTTCCTAGCTCTCACTCTAGGTTTTCCAAATTCCTGATTTTTTCTAACTAAACTAAATCTATTTTTTGAGTTCAGGAATACTTTCGAGAAAATAAAGTCATATTCAGAATCAGCTTTTTGCATCGAATTGTGGATAAAACAATAAGTTTTAGATCGAATAACCATCCATCGATATTTTTTCCCCATGAACCAGCAAGACCTATTTTTCGAAAAAAGAGATTTTTTTCTCTCGGAAATTATCAGAGATGACTAATCAATGATAATTATTCATGAAAACATGTGGTTTACGAGCAAAAAAAATTCTGATGTTCACCTGCTATTATGCACAATAAACTTTTTGGAGAGGTACATGCAGAAACGTACGTAAAAATTTCCAATCAAGAATTGTTTCTTTTTTTTCAAATTTTAGAAAAATACGCCGCTCTGAAATATAATTGGTAGTAACTGCTTATTATCCTTGATATTTTTCTTCAAGAGGACAATTGTCCCGCTGACAGCTTCAAACAAAACGAAATGTCTTAGCGTATATTCTGTCAGTCTTGAGAAAAATGTACGCTACTAAGCTAAAACTATTAACGAGAAGACACGGTACGTATTCATTGGTTTAGGATTTGCAGAAAAATATTTATAATAATGAGAAGTCGTACAGAGTTGCACAATGCGTTTTGCTCAAACGATCGGCTTGTTGTTAGGAGAGTTTAAGCGTAAGTATGACATTCATTTTCAATGAAAGAAGAGAATAGTCAAACTACAACCAGTGTTAACAATTCTCTAGAGCCTTGTCTGAGCGTTCAGTACGACAGAAAAAATAAGTTAGGAATATTTATCTGAAAAATGACCAGGATTTATTGTTCTGTTATATATGTCGTGCCGAAGTTATAACTTCGGCGCGCAGTTTTACCAAAGTTATTTTAGGCGAGCTAAATACTTAGTAATTAACTGATTGACAATGCTATTATCAAAATATATAGTTAATGTTTAATTTTCAGCTAAACAGCATACGCATATCTATTTACCAACAACAAAAAAAATGTACAAATTATTCAGAATAAATGGGAAGTACATTTTTTGGTACTTTTCGAATCTTTTGCTTAGTTAGTTCCTAACTGTGTCATAATCAGAAATAAAAGTTAAACTGACAGTTAACGTAGAATATATCGTTCAGAGAAGGACAGGTCAGACGTCTAATCTGATTAAATAAAGACTTCACTTGACTTGACTTACACATCTATGACACAATTAATTGTAAACTGTGTACCAATGTATGAATTAAGCCGATAGAGATAATAATAAAAGCGAACATCTAAAACTTACACTGTCAAAATAAAGAGATTAAAACAAGCGGATTATTTTTTTAACAGTTGTATAAGTTTCGCTTAGCGAGAATTTAGCTCGCCTAAAATAACTTCGACAAAATTGCGTGTCGCAAGTTATAACTTCGGCACGATCTATACATTAAGTAACTATTGAAATTATGATCCACTTTTAAAGGAAAATATTGAATTAAAACGATTTTATTTTTAAGTTTATCGCCTTATTTTAAGTGGATGATCTATACGTACCTTTATTTTCTTTTTACTTAAAGCGATCAATATTTGTTCAGGCGCAAAATCACTTATCATAATAAAACTGAAAAAACGATATAAATTATTTTTGAAGTTTGATTATCTCACATATATAAGTACTTACTACAATCGTCTATTCGATGTTAATAATAAATCACCTCTTTCATTTAGATAATTAGCTGTCGTAATTTGAAACACACATGACAATTTACGAATAATTTCATTCCTGGTGTTCCACAACTTGAATAAAAAAAGATACATTGATAGATTATCTGTATAAAAAAAGAAAATACTATCCACCATAATGTCATTGACAGCATTGACAGTTGAAAATATTCCTAATGCATCACAACCACTAACACATTTGATTGGTGCAAATTCGTGTAAAATGTCTTTTGATGTTATATCGACAGTGTAGTCATATTCAAGAACAATCGAGTGCATATTTAAATAACTATAACATACAAATTATTTATTATAAAAATCTATTTAAAATTCCTTTTTGTAACTCAACCCTCTGGCTGCACAAGCCACGGCAAGATGACTATTGGCCATTGCACTTCCCACACATTCAGCATCCAATTGTATCTATAAATATAAATATTTCATTTGATTATTGTTGATTGCTACAATATCTACCGTTATACTTTTAATCGTTGTCTAAGAAATATTTCAAAACCATCTATTGAAACATGATATAATTTTGCTGTTAAATCACTTCCAACCGTAAAAAGCCATTTCACACCTCCTATATAATGTAATAGAAATTTAAATACTAATACATGAAAAAAACTAGAAGAATTACTTCGTGTAAAATACGTTTCATATGATTGATAAACTTCAAGCCACTCGACTGATGATTCATGAAGTTGAACATAATTTGATAATATTGAATTTGCTAAAGATTGCTCAACGGCATATTTTAAATTATGTTCACCAGGAATTAAATACATCTTAAAATACATCAATAACGAATATCAGAAGACAGATTAAATGTGTTTAATTTTATTTACTTTGCCATCACTGGTACCAACAAACACAATACCAAATGCTCGTCGTTTACGAGCGAATAGTGGTGAATGAGAAAACTATCAAAAAATAATAATAACATCTAAGATAGTAAAATGAGTGGTGTCCTTACATACCCACATCAGACAAGATAATTTTGTAAAAAGACATTGGGTATCAATTTCAAAAATATTTTTTAAATAGCAAGGTTGTTGTGAACAAGAATAACTACACACTAAAAAATTGAATATTATGTTAAATAAGCCAAAAAAAAGTAATAACAAATTTACCTTGACGTGTAGTCATTACATACAACATTTCACCGGCTGAATCATAGACAAAATCGATGACATACATTTTCTAAATAGAAACATATATTTTTCAAGATTAAGTTTAGTCCTTTGAAACTCAGTTACATACATCAGGATGTAATTGAGTCACATTAATCATTTGAGTTGAACGAGGATTATACAAAGCAAATTCATTTTGATTACTACGTAAAACAATTCGTGTTGGTATACTACCGACAGGTAATGTCAAGCGAACTTGTTCAATTTCGTAATCAGTATCAGAAAAGAAACGTAGAGGCTAGAAAAAATAATTTATATACAACAAATATTTCACAAACAAAGCATTTCAATTTAAGAATATACTTGAGTAAAAGAAAAAAGTTGAATATCATTCTTAAATTGAATGAGAAGATCATCACCGGGTACGAGTGCTATTCGATAAATTGCTTCATCAAAACGCCATTCATCGAGCTAAAATAGACGTGATAAAAATAAATTGTGCAAAAAGTGTATTATAATAAATAAATTATAATAAAATAGCTTAGAATATTGTCAATTGACACTATCATTATTTTTGTCAAAGGGATACAAGAGATTTTACATGTGCAACAGGGATTTTTTAATAAAAATAATATATTACTTTAGTTAAAGAAGCAAGTAACCAGAAAATAATATAACCATCGTATGAACTTGATATAACAACACCATCTGACGTTGTTAACAAACCTACAAAACAGAAATTATATAAATACTTTAAAAAAAATATTCTGTTGTATTTTCCACAATCTGCTTTTATGAAAGATTTTAAACCTGTTTTTCTACAGTAAAAATTTAAGTCATTTTTCTGTTCGTTTTCTTCACCATGTGGAGCTTTTCTACCTCAATATAGTGTAGTAATTTGTTTGTTTGTTAGATAAAACAAATCAAACCGTTCGTTAGTGTGCACAATAAGATCTTTGAAAATGACTAAAAAGGTTTTTTGAAGATTTTGAATACGAAATTATCTTCACATTCCAGAAATTTGACGTCCAACAAAGATATACGTATTTGCTAGTTACTCAAGCGATTTTCGAATATTTTTCTGAAAAAAAATATTTATCTTGTCTGTTAATTTATCGAAAACTCGATAAAGATTAGAAATATAATGGAAAATTCTTATCACAGTTATACTTTACTACGGCTAACATTCTCTGAAAACCTTGTCAATATTGAATATCATAAGACAGGACTATTCTCGGAGAAGATACACCTTAGAAGTACTTACTCGAAACAGTAGTTTTGTGACCTTGCAAAGGTTTAAATAATTCACTATTAATATCGAATACCTAAAAAAAAATATAGCTTAGTGTAACGAATAATAACTAAAGTATTATCAGGTTTTTTACTTACTTTAATCAAACCATCCTGAAAACCCATAACGATTGTATTCTGTGGTCCGTTGATTGTACAACTAAGGAGAAAAAAAATAGATTTTAATATTTTAAATTGAGTCCTACAAGGAGAAAAATCGATATAGCTCTTTTATGATTGTTCAATTTATAGCTCATAAATCATTGGACACAAGCGGCCTTATTATTAATCCCGTTATATTTATACGATGATTTATGAGCACAGATCATCGATTGATATCAAAATTAGCACAAGCGTATGTTAATAACTGAACGTTATAGCATTAGGAGAAAACATTTTTAAAAAAGATGTTAACTTTGTCTTCAAACGACAGTCTTCCCCATTCAATTTCTGTTTTTTTTTACTGAATCATATAAAAGAATTAGACAATTTATCTCGTCATGTACAGAAGTAGCTCTTCAAAAATATATCATTCGTCTGATTGTTTTTGGCTTTAATTATTTTTACCATGTCATAGGTGATGCATGCATAGAAGAAATATGGTACGTTTCTTTATCCAACTAAACAGAATCATTTTTTAACGATCATTTAGCAAGTGTAAATGAATCAGTTAACAAAAAAACGAGATACAGAAAAATAACTCGTATTTCATGACTTCTTCTTTCATTTTGCAGACTTTTTTTTTTTGTTAAACCTTACCAATAAGTTGAAAAGAACAATGCCATTATCAATGACAATTAGTAATTGATGATGTACTTGATCTAATTTCATGTCGACAATGTTGTGCTAAAACAAACAATCAGATGACTAGTTCAGCTAACTATCGTTCTATTTCGTATTTATACTCTGTTATATCAGAAAAAAAAGACTTTCTGTTGAATTACTGTTGTCCAATATTCTTATTCATAATTCATACCTGTCTATTGATAAATGTATTTTGTAGTTTTGTTTTCATTGATGCACCAACTTTAAACGAACAAATTTTCTAAAATAAGAAAAAATTTCTTAATAAAAGAGTTTTGCTTTTTTGTCATCTACATTTTCGAACTCAAAACTCCAACGCATAAGTAGTCCTTTATCGCCACCAACATAAATTGTATTTCGAAATTTGTCATAAACAATTCTAAAATAGAAGAAAATGAAGACGAATTCTGAAGCAAAGTTTTGTCAAGCAGATAAAAATGCTAACACTATTGGGAAAAAGTCTCAGGTACCTTCTTGCGTTACCAGGACAAATTGTTGATGTCACATTACGTAATTGTCCATTTTGATTGATTAGAAGATAAAGACGATAATTATTGTAACCGACTACTATCTATTAAATAAAGACGCACAGCACAAAAATGTGAGAAATAACTGTCACGACATGATATTACTTTATGATGTGGAATATATTTTAAAACTTTAAAGGATGGAAACTGAAAATCGTATCTAAATTTTAAAAAAAAATAAGAAGAAGAAACTCAGCTGCAAACATATAATATGTCATCGATTTTGACTAACCTCATTTGGCTGTGTATGATACCTTTGTTCAAATCCGTGAGTGCAATAACGAGAGCTGATCTTGGATCTTTTTTATCATCGTAATATAACGATGTTAACAAAACATCAGTAGATGAAGATTTGCAATAGGTAAATGTTTCGATTTGCGTACCAAACTGAAATTTATGTAATGGCTGAAAGAATACAATTAATTGTTATTCTCAAAGTTTGGATAAGAAATGAGTGGACAAACCATTGCAGAAAAATGTGGACAATTTTTTTTCGCATATCGTTCTTTATATTTAAGGGCATGTTGAATTTGATTATCCAGTCTGGCTTTAGCAAAATGCCAGTTTAACATTGTAAGTGAAAAACAAAAGTATATTTGTATTTATCTGAAATTGAAAATCAAAGCTTTTCATCTGATACAGAACAGTGAATTTAGTTTTGTAGTAGTTTACTACAAAGCTAAGTTCACATGTTCGAATCTCTATTCGTACAAAATTGATTTTGTGTTTTTCGATAGTTTTAGTTTAGAATACTATAATGGAATATTTTCCGCTTGTATTCTGACAGAATAAAGCTTATATCAAAGCTTTTCATCCAAATAGACAACTGTTTGTATAAAATGGAAGACACAATCTCTACAAACTTTCTCTGAAAAAAGCGGAAACATATAACAACTGTTATCACAATTCATTTATCGGATTAACTTTTTAAAACGATAATAAACTCGCAATGTATAAAAACAGCAGCTACCATGAAGGCTTCCGTCGTGGTCAGAATGTCATGGTCAGCCTTCTCCATGACCGTTCTCAGTCAAAATGGCAAAAAAACCTATTCGCTTATTAGCCAATATAATCCACTATAGCTTCAGTCTGGTTTGGATCATTCTTATCGGTTGAAATAAGCTGTACTACAATGGAAAATGAAAACTTAGTTATAGATTAAATTTAAATATCGGTTATAAGGAGAAATTCAAGAAGTAATAACCGCAAGCTTTGGTCAAGATATACTGAGTGTAAAAGTTAGGCGCAAAATGGTAGTATCAGCATCAACTAAAATGAAATCTAATTCAATTATTCTTCGCGCAGTGGACTTATTACATCTGAATCCTAAGGTTTTTTTCTGGTGAATCGTTATTTTATGGTACAACATTAAAATTCGAAATTCGAACTCGCTAGTGCGCTACGGTCCATCTACATAAGCTACACGAAAATCAATTGCTAGCTTGTATATGAAGAACTTTGATAGTAGCGATCCATAATTACTTAATTGAATGGCAGGAAGAGGAGTGGTCTGATTGTGAATAAGATGACAAATAGAAAGTTTCCATACTTTACCAAAAGTGTCCGGAATAAACGCTGCCAGGGGCCACTACATTGGTGTAATGCATTTAACTTATCAGTACCACTATCCCATTGTTTAGATATGTGACAACTTAGTCAAACATTGGTTTTTGCTCACTAGGTGTAAGGCTTAACGCTCACTTATAGTGTTTTACATTCTTTGTACAGAAGTTTTACAAATTGAAATGAAGTTGCCAAGGCTCTTGCGTCTTTTTCGGGTACTTCTACAGATCGACTACTACCATCACTCACCCTCACCGCTATCGCCGCTCACTTTTACCGTTAGAGAGGTGATCGATCTGTAGAAGAACCCTTTTTCGCATGCACTGGCAAAAAAATGATATTAAATATATGACAATAGAAGGATAAAAGCATGATAATTATGCACAAAACTTTTCAGGTCATCTTATCGTGCTTATACTTTCAGCGTGGCATAATAACATATTTTAAAGTCAAAGTTTTAAACATTGTTAATGGAACTTTTTTGATTTTATCTCTTGATTAATAAAGAGAGTATCGTCGCTTCCTAGGTTCTAATAAGTTTTTGAGTAATTGAGTATTCAAATCGAGAAGTTATCTTATTTATTGCCCCAGCCCCTTATCTTAAATTCAAAGATTTTTTTCTTTCCCTGTGAACTTATGACTGTAACTATAGATTTAAATGCTTTGCCAGCTTTTGAGATCTTTTTATTGCTATACGCCCTTCCGTCTTTAAGCAGCGCAGTTCACTGTTCAACACCATTTTTCCATATTTTTTCTTGTCAAACTTTATTTTTTATGTAAAAATTACCAAAACCAATGTGATTTTTGCTCTTTCTCTGATTTGTGAACTTTTGTTCACGGAAGACACGTATAATATTTTAACTGTGAGTAATTTACGGAAACATCAATGAATTGAATACATTTACAGAAATAAACAAACATTTGACTTTTTCTGTCAATTAAAAACAAGTGAAAATTGCTATATCACACTAATCGTTTAGCAATATTTTACGTTTTTATCGTGTATCAGGAATAAATGCGGAATATCGTTCAAACTTTTATATCCACGAATGGAAAATCGATCTTACACGTAGAAAACGTTGTTACGCGAGTATGACATTGATACCATCGCCTTGTTGGGGATTAATTTTCTGATGATGATGAATATATTTTTGCTGTCTTTTCCTTAGAATGTACATAAATATTTCAGATAATCCCTTCAAATGGGCACAACAGCGTCACAAACCACTGGCGCTTATAAACCATCGTATGGCACATTTTATGATTTAAAGGCAAAAGATATTGATGGTGTAGAGAAATCAATGGCCGATTATAAAGGCAAGGTTCTAATGGTTATCAATGTTGCCTCAGCATGCGGTAAAACCGATCGTGAATATAAGTATTTAACTGGTTTATATGATAAATTTCATTCTCAAGGCTTTGAAATACTAGCATTTCCATGTAATCAATTTATGTATCAAGAAAGTGGGACATGCACAAAGATCAAAACTTTTATTCAAAAATATAATGTTCAGTTTCCAATGTTCGATAAAATAAATGTTAATGGAAATGAGACACATCCCATTTATACATGGTTAAAACAAAGTTTTCCAGGACGTGTGACATGGAATTTTAGTGGAAAATTTTTGATTGATCATAACGGAATACCAAGAGCAAGATCGAATGACAATTTTGAAGAAATCGATCACTTAATACAAAAATTAATCGATGAAAAAAATCAGGCCTCAACAACAGGCTAATTTTACGAGAAAACTCCAAAAATGAATTATTTTTCATTTCTTTTTCAACTGTGATGCATACCAAAATCTTTTCAAATGATATGTATATTTTGAAGTATTTTTATTTATTCAATTATGTCAGAGAAACTTTATCTTGGGTAAAAATAGGGCACGTTTGTGGGTTTACTCATTAGGATAAGTTTGCAAGATATGGCATGTTTGAGAGAGGATGACTGTAGTAAACTATCTGTTTATCAAAAAAGTGTTCTGAGTGTTATTGGTTTGTTTGTCTGTTTCAGATATGAAATTTTTTCAGTTTTCTTTATATTTGAACGAATTTATTAATAAATGTCTTTGATGAAGCATTTAACGAGGAAGTAAGTTGTTACGCTTTGTTTCTATGTGTATTCCATTGAAAAAAATTATTGTCGATTGGAACGTAATGCTACTGAATTCATTTGTGCAAGTTCACTTTGTACTAAGTTACAAAAGAAAAATTGCAGCACTGAGCTAAATACTAGGTGGTGAGTGATCCGATACAAAAAAAAGTGCTGTTTCTCTGTTGATTTGCATTATTTATATTACTTCTATTTCGATTTCCTATAATAATTATTAACTTCTCCGCCTTTTACATATACCGGAACACACACTTCTGTGCAGTATTCTATCTTTTCTTCGTCTTTTTTAGCTAACCAAAATATTTTAGTTCTTTGTTTTTACTATTCCTCCCATTTCATGAAAAATAGGTTATGCCCATTTTTATTGTTTAAACTCCCAACATATTCTTTTTCTTCGCGTTTTATTGAATATATAATGACGTCTTTTTTTCTTTCCTCAAGCGATCTTTTAATAAATGTAATAATATGATATGATATGTACATGATTGAACACTTACTAGCTAACGTTAAACATGTGTTTATATATATATTGGGTGAATTTAATGGAGTTTTCTTCTTCCGTGTCAGTAAAATAGTTAAAGAAAACACAATAGAAGATCTACGTACATAGTCTTTTTTTTTTATGTAAGTAAGTGAGGTTTATTGTCTCGTCTTTTATTGTTGGGCATAGAATAAAGTTAGGACAAGGAATGGGTATACGTCAATTGGAGAGATGTTAGAGTTGATATGTTTTTATCGAATGTAAATATTATAACGGAATTTTTTCTATTTGAATTCTGCTATTAATTAAATTGAACACTCGAAACCCGAATCACACGGGAGAAAGAAAGGGAGAGAGAAAAATACCGTTCTTTATGGCTTAAGTTTCCCAGTATTGAGTTAAATGTTAAAATGCTACTATATATTGAAAAAAGCTCATCAATGTAGCCTTTGTGGGCTAAATGGTGAAAATGTTTTATGCTTTATCGGTCTAATAACAGCTTCTAAAAACAAGTGGAGATTATCAACCGTACACAGCTTGATAAACAACAAATTAGCGTGGTCGCACTTTCTTTGAGCCTAACGTCATAGCATCTGCTTCGAATGAAAACTGTGACATGTGATGTTTCGAAAAATTCGACAATTTTTTTAAACTAGAAAATGTTTGAGAAAGCGGATGAATGAAGCTCATCATTCTAGCCAATGTGCTCTACCCATTCTCATTGTTCAAGATTCAAGGGTAGAGTCAATGCAATACTCTTTAAAGTGCCGCTATGGCTGTGTGGTTAAGTTGTTTGGCATGTAACCTCAAGGTACTGTGTTCGGGCCTCAGCGCCAACAGACATGGAATGACCCTGGGCAAGTCATTAACGATTGTTGACCTCGGATCACCCGTCCGATAGCATGTTGACTACGTTGTGACATACATCAGCCCTCGTGGCTAGTATGTGGTTAGTTAGTGTACACGATTGAGCGAAAGAACTCTGAGTCAGGCTGGCCTTCTGTCCAGAGCTACATGGAGGGAAGATATCGCGCTTACGAAACTGTCTCCAGACGGCACCCTATACCGCAAGGTAGTGAACAGGCGGGTTATTCTTCCTTCCTCTTTAAAGAAATTTCACCTACGCGTCGTCAATATTTAAAAGAATATCCCAGCCATCGCATCAAACGGGGTAAGGTGAGAAAGAGAGTGATCAACCTTCAAATAAACTACTCTTCTCCTATTCTCATTTTAAATAGATTGTGTTCTATAACCATCTTTAATTATTGAGGCGAAACTATTTTCACTATGAGATTTTGAATTCAAACCTTGAACTTTCCTTTCTGTCTTCAGTATAAAATATGATTCCTGAAAATTAGTTTTTTTAATCGATTCATTGAATATACTTGAGTTTGACATGTTATTTTTAATTTTAATTATTGTTCTATCATCTGATATTGGCTAATTTGTCACAAAAAAAAGGAGTTTTCCGTCTCCAGTTTCATCATGAGTGAAATGTTGTATGAATCGATTTCACTTAATATATATGAGAAGACAGACACACATACACAACCTCATCAATTATAATCAGTAAAAGAACGATGAACTAAGTAAGAAAAAACTCCATTCATTATTAGTATTATAGTACTATTCGCTCATCATATTTTGTTTTGGATAGAATGAACTGTAGTCCTTAAATATTTTAAATTGATTATTACGGAAGTATTCAGCAGCAGTACAAAATTTCTTTCTTTTTGTCTATTATTAAAGTGAAAAAAATGTAAAGAAAAAGCAATTTTTCTTTTTAGTGTGCTCTTTTTTTTTACTAATACACTAAAATACTAATACAGTGGAAGGAAACGCTATGCAGCAGTAGTTCCCTTATACCATTTCCTGAAAAAAATTTTGAAAAATGATAAATTAAATTAAAAAAATTTGAATAAAAGAACATTTAGCTAAGAGTAAGTTATTTATGTGTAGTTAGGTGGATTTGGGGTTGTGATTTTCCCGTAGATAAATTCGTTTTAATATAGAGACTACTAAGAGTGAACGTTTGATTAGATCAACAATTTTTTGTTTTTCAGAAAGGGAAACGAGAACTGATTACAGTTTATACAAAAAGAACTAAAAAATTCAGACATTTAAAATATTTTATGATCAATTTAAACGAAGATATGAATGTTTTTGTTTTATTTATCGTTAAGTAAACATTAGAATTCTATAACAAGAATGACAATGTTGAAGACAGATTGAACAGATGAATAGGACTTATTAGTCAATGAGTTAATGAAGAGTTTTGTAAACAGAGTTATCAGATTTCGAAAAGAGGTGCGTAAGCATGCATTGTCAAAAAATCTTTAGTTTATCAGCTAAAAAGTTGATGATGTATGTGAAGTATGATGGAAAAGAACTGGTTTGACACAATCTTTTCTTGATTTCAATGATTCTGTCATATTTATCGATGACTTTTCGTTAATTAACATCTGTCTTTAGTACTGCACATTTCAACTATTTGTCTCGTCTTAAATCAAATTATACATCGTTTACCTAATTAGTGATGTATGCTTATTTGTTGTTTCAATAATTTGTTTTAATGTGATTATAATAATGATCATGATTTAATAGCAACGAAATCTTATACTATGATTTGTCTGTCATGAATATATCGATCTTCAGGTGGTGTCTGCCATATCCTCTACTATGAGGTTTGTTTATTCTTTGATGTTTTCGTGTGACTGAGTAGAGATTATGGGAGAAACCTTTTCATTTCCCTCAACCGATAAACCAAATTTTGTTTTTTTCCTTTTATAAACATAAGAAGAAATATTACAATATTGATTAGACATGTTTTATGCTAGACATAATGGTTTTTATTCGTTTTCGACTCGATTCAACCACTCTTAAAAATTGACTAGACTGATCCATACGGATCTCTGTTCCCTTTCATTCTTTGAATAGACTATACACATGTATATAATTTATAAATTTATAAATTTTTATAATTTATTAATTCTCATTGGTCAGTTGTAAATCTATATCTATCTATATCTGTAGACGATAGATCAACGTATAAATTAATTTTATATTTTCCATTATGGTAAATAATTCTAACTTAAAAAAATATTCATACGTTTTTCTGCAAAGTTTTTCCATTGATCATCTCTTTAAATATTCGTACTTTAATTATAATTAGAGGCATAATTTAATGATGCATTTTTCTCTATTTCAACGATCTAAAGATGAAAAAAGTAGACTAAACGCTGTAAGAAAATAGAAAAAAAAATTTCAAATCTATATGTACGTATAGACGTTAGAACAAACTATCGCATCTGTTACAATGTATAACCAAAGAATCCATATTACTTTAGCGGTATCTTTGAACATATTGGTGTGATTTCATTTCATTTTTATTTTCGAAATGTTCGTTCATTTAAGATATATAAATTCTGAACGAAAAGCAACCGCTTCTTATACTTGATTTTTTTTCGTTCTTTTTTCTATCGACAGCTCTTTCTCTTTCTCTCTGTCTCCTCTTTCGCTGTTGATTCATGTTTTCGGATGTCAATAAAAAAGTGGAAAATATATATGATCTTTAAACTGATCGAAAGAAGAAAAAAAAAACACATCGTAATTCATTCATTTATGGTGAAAATGATCAGTAATTGAACAATTTGTTTAAATGATATTTGTAATTTGAACTAGAAAATGAATTTTGACTATAGATATCACCATTATATTTATTAAACTTTTATACCATCAGAATTAAACTCGATTGAACTGTATCTTATTATGAATTACATCCATCATCATCTATGGTACGTTCGAAATTTGACAAATGTTCTGATATACTCTTCATAAGTGTGATTAATGATTATAAAAATAGTCATCTATTAAGCGAACTTAGTGAACACGAATATTTATCAGATTTCTAGATGAAAAGAATATTAACTTGAAACATTTGAACTACAGTGAGTAATCTGATTTATGAATTGAAGAGGCAAAAAATTTTTAAAATTAAATTAGAACGTATACATACACACGTAGATAATAAAAAAAAAAGAAAATGGAGAAAATGGAGAATTGTTTGTTTAAATTTTCTGTTGTTTTTGATTGATTATTTTAAAAATAATCAATTATTCCTAATCAGTTGTCTGTTTTACTGAACGAAAAAAAATAAGGTATGATTGTTTAGAAAAACAATATAAAATTTGATTCCTGAATTGTTTTACGATTATTCATTATACTTTGTCCTAGATTGTCTGCTATTACATACGTACACACAATGTTAAAATATGAAACAAAAACAGATAAATTTTTATTATAATGATGTCTAATTCTGTTCTCCATCATTGAAAATGAGATATACTATTGACGCGTCAATAATCCGATTCTTTAAAATAAAAATAAACATTCTATAATGATCAGTATTTATGGACGAACAGCATTTTCAATGAACTGTTATGTTTCGAGAAATTTTTTTGAAATATGCTACTATATAGCTCTCGAAAAACGTTTTTCCAATGCCTTATGAATAAAATAAATGTTATCAATTATACTGATCAATATTTGTGTACTAGATACCAAAATATGAAATACGATACTATTTCTTTAATTCATTTATTGTAGGTTTGGTATGGCTACAACACCTTCAAAGTTAAATAGTGGTGAACAACGTCAAACACCGTTGATCTCATCTACACCAATATCATCACATTCGATTATGAATACTATTGATAGTAATCATAGTTTATCATTAACACCACCACCATCACTACCATCACCACTAACAACAAATGATAATCTACGAAAAGAATTTATATCATTAATAAATAATACAGAAAATTGTGATCTATTTTATAAATATATGAAAAATGAAAATTTAACATATGTATTAGAATTTTATCTTGCCTGTGACGGTTTAAGACATCATCTCGATGATGAAAGTAAAAAAGGTGAAATAATTAATTTAATTAATACACATTATATTAAAAATAAACATTTATCAACAAATACAAAATTTCGATTATCTGATGATATTTTGAAATTAATTAAAATAAAACTTAATAAAAAAGAGTATGATCTAAAATTTTACGATATTGCTCAAGATTATGTGTTTAAATATATGTTACAAACATGTTATCCAAAATTTTTATCAATACAACAACATCAGACACAATTGAAACGTCAAATAAAGTCACAGACGTATACACCAATGCATAATAATAGTTTAATTACATCACGAAAAACTCTCGTCTTTGATCAATTTAAGAAGCAACGATCTATCAACAACAATAACAGTCAATTATCTAGTCCGGTGATAACAACATCTATTCTGAAGTAAGTATTTGCTTTATATTGTCAATTATTTGTCTCTTCTTATGTCATATTGCTAACAAGTAGTACTCTTCTTCATTCAATCTGCAAAATATTCTCGATAAAAATAAAAATAAAATTTGTTTTTTGATTGTTCCTTTTTTAACACAAAATGATAGCTTAATTCACTTACACATATGTGTTATCAACAATAGAGATAGGTAAAATAGACACATTTCTAATGTGATAAATTAAAAATTATATATATGCAAAAATAAGGTGGCAATAAACAATTAGAAATCATTTGTGAAAAGACCACTTATGCATATAAATTAGTTTAAATTATTCATATATGTGTCTCAAACATTATTGGATTGTCAATAATGGTTTGTTTTCTGCTTTGTATATGTAATAAAAGTATACGATTGATTTAAAAACTTGTACATATCTTCTACTAAAGTGAGATCGGCGACGATGATGAATATAGTCATATAGATCTACATATATTAGATAAGAATGAAGAAATAATAGAGTATTCAATAATAAATACGGAATGATATAATAATCTTAATAATAATAGAGTATCTAACTATTGAAATTGAATGTTGTTATTAAATAGCTGATACACTAATGTTTATTCAGTAGAGGACAGACATTTCTCTTATTATTCTAAGACTGTACTATTTATGCTGTATTTTGTTGTTATAGTGCATCGACATCGAGCAATGCAAACAGAAGTAACATTAGAAATACTAGTCAATTATTCGATACTACGTAAGTACAAAATACTCTTTTTATGCATGTAGTAGATCGGTTTTATTTCGTTATCATCATTTACACAAGCAAACAGGCAATTTTAACTTTTCTATTATTGATGTTCGTCTATCTCATTGCAAATTAATGAAACACTCTTTTACAAAAGTGAAACATTTTCACATGTATCAGTTTTCTTTGATCTTTTACCAATTTTTCTTCTTTTCTTCCAGCTTTTATCCATATCTTTGAAATTTGAATGTTTTATTTTTTTCTCTTGTTGTTTGCCTTAATTCTGGTATATATGGAGGTGTTAGATTATATATCATCGCCTCTTTATTCTTCGGTGTTATTTTTACCATTGTGGAGAGGAGAGTACATTTGTTCATTGATCCTAACAAAACTACCATATGGTTAAATGAAAATACTCTCACTATGGGCGTGTTATACCTCAAAAAATGTGATAATGAAAAAACAAAAAACCGCCACTTGTCTCTCTAGTTTGTTAGATGCTCTAGGGAAAATTCTAACAAACATCAAAAATAGTGAACATTTTTTTTTGTTAAGCATATTGCTGGTATAGTTTCTCTCAGCTGTTTTATTAAAATTCTTTCATATTGATAATTACAATTTAGTTGTGTTTCAACATGCTACCCAGAAAAAAAAATTCGGATTCAAACATCACAACGAAACTAAAAGTTCGATAGATCTGGACAGTCTTATTCTGACTTAATCATTAACTGAAACTTTAAAAATATCTAATTGTAGAAGATATGACAATCTCTAATGCGTACATATCAGACTCTGCCTACTTCTTGCCTGTAAATCCTATTGTTTTATCACCATAACATTCAAGGTAAAAGTTAGACAGTAGTTTAGAAGTAACCGCGCATATTACAAATGATGTACGAAATGCTCATTATTAAACACATTTCTTTTCTTTCAACTATTACTTGTTTCAAAAAAACATCAAAAAAAACTTGATCCGCCAGCCGTTAGTCATGTCTGTTTCGTCACGCTTTTTTTCCTACCTCGACCACCATATTCTCTCTTCCTTTCTTCTTAGGTATAGTGATACACTAAAGACGATATTCTCTATATACTGACTGATACATATTAGTCGCTCAATTTTTTCTTCTTCTTGTTTTTGCGCATTCGTTCACTTGCGGTACTCGTTTCTTTCTTCTTTAAACTTCAAACAATCGGTATTATTTGATCACTATAACTTCTAACGTTCATCGGTGAGTTTGATCTTGTCAACATGGACCAAATTCAATTAGATTATGTTATTGTGCCGCATTGTTAAAAAGTAGACAATCAAAGAAAGAAAAAGAAAAAAATTCATATTCTTCTCTTTTTACCTCATTCTTATTGATTTCTCGAGCAAGAAACGACAGATAGTATTTAGTGATTTCACATCGACTTATACTAGAGTAACTTTCTAAACATGATGGTACTATTATCAAGATATCCGTACCAAGAACAATTCATTTCGTAAGTTATTACGGAAAATAATTCTTTTGTTATTTTATCGTACGAATTTCGATCGTATGATTGCATTTGTGACTTAATTAGTCTACACTTGTACTTATCTAACGTGTTCGTCTAGTTTATTATTGTCGAAATTATAAATTGCTCGAAATATTATCTATCAGATAATTATAACCTAAAGAGTCTTCTTATATAATCATAACAACAGCATGGTTAGTTATTCAGTGGCTTTTTTCTTTCGTCTCCGACGCATCTTAATGGAACAAAACGTAGATAAAACGCGTTTAACTATGTCTTCTCGATATTGCATTTCCTATCAACTGAAAAAAAATAGATAAATAGCAACATGGTTCAACATGGTCTACATCAGATTTTCATCTATATCATCTAATAAATATTCACTAAAATACGGAAAATTGAGGATGTATTAGGATGCAATTATTCAAATAATTGCATCTGTTGCAATACTGTTAAACAAAGTTTAGACGAAATATAAGATGTCGGAAATTCAAAGTTCGAGTGAGAATTTTTTCCGTTTTAAAAGTTTTTGAAAGTATTATTTTCAGATTCAGTATCAAAAACTGAGTATGAGAATGATGCTTGATCGAGGTTGAAGTCAAAGGTCTATGTAGTATGGACGCTTTGGACTCCCGTACGAAATTCATAAGCAGTTTTGCAAACCTATCTAGGCTTCTTTTTGTGAAGAGATGCCAATTTTTGTACTTCATTAGAAACGCCATTAAACGTGCCATTAAAGTGCTATTTTTTTTATTTTGCTTTATCACTGAGACAATTCATATTTTTTTCTGAATCAGAACTCTCACTTCCCTCCATCAGAACTTACCTTTTATGCAATTAAAGTATCATATTCGGAATCAGCGTCAAAAACGGAGTCGAATGATATACATCTCAAAATTGAAATATATGTCATTCGAAATAGATGGCTCTATCGAACCATGCATAAATAAACGGAAAAAAACTCTTGCTCAAACTTTAGATTTCCAACATCTTACGTGTTTATAATAATAAAAAATGTTGCTGATTAATACAGGATGATAAAAAAACTGTTTGGCATAAATGTACAAATTAATTTAAATTAAGAATTGAATAGTAGGATAGCTAATGGATTCGTATTTTTCTTTTTGTTTTAGTTCATTGGAAACAACGAGTTTGATTTGTGAACATGACATTGATTTGAATGCATCTAAACCTATACCAGTAAGTTTCAAAAATAATTCTATTCATCCATATGTATGCAAAAAATTGATTTAGTGTAACTCAAACAAGTACCTTATTTATTCATATTCTCTTTTTTAGCGTACATCAAAAATTACTAAACATCAACAAGAAAAATATAGTTTAGCTGAACGTGATCCTTGTGCATTTTTTGAAGAAGTAAAAAGAAGATTATTGTACGTACTTGGTGAACAAGATAAACGTAATCCTCTAACAACAACAACAACAACGGATCTAAGATTATCACAATCATTAAACATCAAAAATAAGGTAGAATATTGTATATTGAATAAAATTATATTGAAAAATGACAATTTTCTTTTTATTAGTCATTTTCTTTCACTGATCGAACGAATGTGTGTACAACGACAATCGATGATGATTCGTTAGCTGTTATTGATAATCAAATTAATCGTACAATACCTGATGCTGATAATATTTTATTTGGCGAAGATAATAATACACGATTAAATTCAAATAATACAGTACATTCTCGACTACGGCATCAACAACATAATGTAGATGAGTTAACAACAGTAACAAAATTATCAGATTCAAATGATTTATTTCAAAGACCGTTAACAAGAGGATGTGGATATAAACGAAATTCTATGAATGAAGGATCAACAACGCAGAATGAGGGCTTTTCGACTTTGAGAAGTTTTACAACATCAGATTCTGGTGTATCGACGGGTGGATCAGAACGGTAAGTTCATTTAAAATTTTTTATCTTTCATGTTGAAGTTGCCCTATGTAGAGAGTTTAGATCACTTTTTCAATGCACTTTTTTATTTTGTTTTGAAAGAAACTATGAAATGTTATTATCGGTGGCAACATCATCATCCATTGGTGCCACACCTTCTGTGATAACACAACCTGTTACACCATCAACAGTTCCAGTCAAAAGGTAAAATATGGTATATCCATTGTCGATCGTTCTTTGTGTGTATGTTTACCATAAATTCTCTAAATTTTTCTTTAGAAAAAATATTATGACTCAATCGATTGGTGTTGTATGTTATCCATCATTAGAATCAAAAAGACCAATTATGTCATTTATAAAAAGACAACAACATGCTAATGATATATTAACATTCAAAGAGTTTAAAGAATTGTTTAAGAGAACAGATTCTCATAGGTAAGATTAATAGATATGATAATCTAATTATATGAATTTAACGACTCTATTTTTAATTTATTTAGATGTTTTTTTAAAACAACATGTACATCAGACATTAATGTTGAAAAATTTGTATTTTTAGAATTAACTAGCGATGATGAAATAGTACCGTTTTTTGACGGTAAAATAATTCTACAATTGGATAAAACGAATTAAAACGGATTTTTTTTGTATTTTTTTTTTGTGCACTTGTCGTTCTTTTAATAATTTATGACAATAATAGTCAAGATTTTTCCAGAATGAGGGTCAGATAACTCTTTTTTATTTTGACAAATAGCTGTTTGATTTAGAAATGAGATTCGAGTCAGATAAATATCAATAATCTTATGATTTTTTGCTTATATTATTTGTCAGATTTATCAACATGTTATGTGGTACTATTTTTTTTTCTCATTGATTACTGTTGTCGTTATTGTCTATTTTTTTTTTCTATATTTCTTATGAGTATGGTAATTATTTATATAACAGAATCTTCATGTTCAGTGCCTTTTTTTTTGTTTGTTTCTTTTACAAAGTATGTAAAACAAATTTGAAAATTAAATACATAAACTCTGTCTCAATTTCTTTTGTTCTTCGGAGTACAATGCATTTATCTCAACTAGTAACCAGATCCATAATCTGTAGATGTAATTAAATTATGAATATATTCTATTGGTCACATATTTGTTCAAAAGATACGATTGAAAAGTTGTCAGTAAGTTTAACTAAATTATTTTCTTCAAAACAAAGATATATTAGCCAACAAAAATTGATAACAATCAGATAAAAAAGACTGTGTGTCTTATGACAATAAAATAAAGATGTAAAATGTGATTTTTTAATATATGGGAAAAGAAAACGGATACTGCATTAGAAGTGCATGTAGATATATCTCATTGTACTTAAGAGAAAATAAAAATATCAAATTGTCTAATGTTTGATTAGTATCGGATTTTAAGGGTAGAAGTTATATATAGTTATATACCTGAATCTGAGACTCATCACTATTTTTGTTGCAGAAATGTTAATGTACTTAAAACATGAACCTCTCTCGCCCACCCAAATACCATTTTCATGAATTGAAAGTATATTTTAGTGCTCAATTTTTTCCAATTTTTTTCTGGCTTTGTAAACAATTTTACGTCGTTCCATGGAAGATTTTACTTTTGTTGAATGAAGTTATTGTTGGACAATTATACGACACGTTAAAATACTCTTGGATTCGATTTTGTGAAAAAGGTGACATTGAATTTGGTGACGTTGAATTTTATACCGACAGTCAGCGAAAAACATGTCTAGAATTGTTAGGAGGACAGTAGCCAGAGGGCGGGTCGTAAGAGCTCGTAGACCCTCCTTGGAGTAGATAAGTCGTGTGGAGAGGACAGTAGGAAGAAACAAAAATATTTTTCGGAAGCGAGTCTAACCGTTAGAAAAAGAATATCTGAGTACAGTTTGTTTGCGGAAAAACTAGGAGATATTCGGCTCAAAGATGTTTGACAAATTTCATTCCTTCTTGTTTGTTTGTTCGTATCTTCTATCTGGATAAAAAAGTATTTGTGGTGGTGCTCTGTAACAGTTAGAGAAGAATACGAAACGCACTAATGAATCGTATTTGACACCAACAATTATCGATTGTTTAGAATTTGTTATTGCTTCTTGGATGCAATGTTCGGTACTTTTCAATGATTCAGTTATTATTTATTATTATTAAATCATTCAGTTATGATTACATGTGTGCCAGTTTAGAAGTTAGCTAAGAAGATAATAAATGCTTTTAAAAAATGTGAAAACACATTTAATCTCATTCGTGATACATTTGAATCCATTTAATAAAAAAGTGCAGAAAAAATTTCGTTTTAGACAGTCATTTATGATAACATCCTAGCATCCTCCCGCGAGTCCTCCCATTTGCGCTAGTGTCCTTTTCTGATTTCTGAAGACTGAAAAGCTGTATTCTATCTAAGTATGGATATTTTTGTGATGATTACACTGAGAAAAAATTATAATTTTCTTCCTTGGATACTGCTGGTATATTAAGTAATAACAAAAACAATTAAACACAGAAATGCATTAATGAAAAGATGAGTCACTCCGGTTGTATGTCTGCTATAGGAGAGAAAAAATTCCTCTGTTTTGAAGTTCCAATTCTCATCCTCTCTTCGGTCTTTTTCCTCAGCAATAACTTGGAGACATCTCTAGATCTGAAGAACACGGAAAAATTTGAGTTTTTTTTATAGAACGACTGAGTATGCTCTATTATAACAATTATTATTAACAAACAAAAGTTTTCGGATGTTTACTTGGATAAGCAATACTGAAGTATTTGCTCAATAATACCATGTTCGTTAGAATATTTATTAAAATTACAGATTCATTAGGAGTGAGATTGAAGTAAGCGGAAATAAGAACTCTTTTTTCATATATCTCTAATAATAGCAAACATTATGTTTACTATTGCTCCTATAACACTCATTATATAAACGAATATATGTGGGTGTTTCTGACATCTTAAATAGATGACATTATTGCTAATTGTTTTTTCGTGTCAAAAAATCCATTTATATTTTTTTGAACGTGTATAAGACTAAGGTTACACTTAATATAGTGGATCAATTATTATAATTCATCTTTTGTTGTTGTTTGATCTTCTTGTTCAGCTGCTGTTCTAATATCATGAATTAATTGTTTTAAATCCAAAAAAAATTCATCTGTTATACCTAATAAAATAGAATAAAAAGAAATATAGATAATATTTTTTTTTTAATTGTATAACTTACTGTCAATCAACGGGCGAATATCTCTAATTGTAATTTGTCCTAATAGACGTTGATTCAATAATTCCAAAAATTGATTAATTTCTAAGATAACTTTATTATATTTTGGATATTTTTCTATAATAATGAATAAAGAATGAAAATATTTTTAAATAAATTTTAAAAAATATATATATATATTTATATATAGAAATATTATTTACCCATCCAATCTTTTGGCATTAAATCTATTCTCGTATCAATTAATGAAAGTATGTATTGTTGAATAAATAATCTTAAAATATCGTCTAAATTAAATTGATCATTTCCTAAATTTAACACATTTTGAAAGGATAATTTTGTTGTATCATCTGGATTATAAATTGTTTTTTTCAATGCATCAGTTAAAACTGTTAATCTATCAAATTCAATATCCGATGAAAGATTAATTGTTATTTGAAAACTCAATACAATAATTAATGTATATAAAATGATCATTTTTATTTTTCCTTCGTCTTTTTTTTATTAGAAGATTTAATGATTGAATAAAATAGAAATAAATCATTGTTCTACCAGAGGTAGATACAGATTACAGCTGTAGGATTTCTCAGAATATTTCTTTTTACTGAAAATATAGATTAAGATTTTTTTCTCTTCTTTATTGACATATACACTTGAAGTGTGTGTGTGGCTTTTCTTACGTCATCCATTAACAAAGGTGGTGTGTATATATCGTTCGATTATATGGAGTTTTATATATTTAAATAGATTAGAAATTTTCTTACTTTTTTCATATAAAATATATTTTTTTAACTTTTCAACTATCTATTTTTGCATTTGTTCAATTTTTATGGCATTTTTCTCGACTGCACTTTGGTAATTATAATGTTTTATTGTCTATGAATTGTATGAATTAGACAAAACGAACAGCATAAAGTAGATTTAAAAAAAAATAATAACTTTACAGCTAGCTGTACACTATTTTGTCATACGAATACTATTTTCAGTCATAATTCTATAAATATTAAAAAGAAAGAAAAAACCTTTTTCGAAGGTCAAACTAGTTTTTATCACTAGAAAGTAATACTAATAATAATAATAATAATAATAATAATAATCACACTATTTAATTACGATATATTTTTATATGAAGTAGAGAAAAGATGATGAATTCTCTGTTGATTAATGTTTGTAACACGTATCCACAATTATTGGAATATATTCATCGTAAATAAAAATAAAAATAAAAACAAATAATCAATGAGAAAAACATCATGAATTACTCGTCTCTGATGAATTGTCGACAACAAGTGACAAACAAAACAACAGTGAAATTTTTATGAGATAAATTACATTTACGTCATTGGTTTATCTATATATACAAGCATATCATACTCAATACAATGAATTGAGCAATTCTAAAATATTTTTCTAAATAATATTCGATTTTAATTTTATAAATTAAACTAGATGATTTCAATTGTATATGATAGAGTGTCATGTATGCTCGATTATCTCAATTGGAATATGCTGCTACATAATCTGATTCATTGATAAATTCTAATATTTCTAAATTATTAAAAAATTTTATTTTAGATTGTGATGACTGAACAACCTCATTATGCGTATGATGATGAAGATTTTTCACAATTTTATGATAAAATGGTAGAAAATTTACCATCACATGAATATTGGTTAGATACGATAGATAATTTATACATAAATATTGTTAGAAAAAGTTTAATACATATAAAAGATTCTGTTGGTCGAGTAATTGAATTAGGAACTGGAACAGCCACAACTTTACTCTCTTTGAAAAATCATTTATCAATTGACAATCGAACAATGGATTTAATTGGTGTAGATAATTCAAAAGTAATGCTTCAACGAGCAATAGAAAAAATTGATAAAAATGATAATATCAATATTCGTTTTCATTTGATACAAGCTTCTCTAACAGATTTTGCTGAAAAATTACCATTTGAACATCATTCAATTGATTGTATATTATTAACAGCGGGCACATTTCATCATCTCATCACTGATCAAGAACGAATTATGTGTTTAAATAATATTCATCAATTTTTAAAATTTCATACAGGTTTAGGTATGATTTATTTGATACCCGAATGTGCAATTCATATTGATGATTCTTTAGTGAAAGAAGATGAAGAGAAAATAAATGAAAACGATAATAATTATCAATTTATATCACAGAAGAGAACAAATTGGCAAGATAAAATTAATCAAGACTGGTATTGTGAACAAATATTTCAATTAAAAAAAGGAAAAGATATTAATCGAACATTAAAATGGACTATTAGAACATGTACACCAAAATATCTTATAAATTTATTGATGAAAAATGGATTTAAACCTGTTTACTATTGTTTGAATGGAATAGATTTAATAAATAGTGATCAAATTAATTTAAAGGACGATGATGTTTTTATCACACCGTTTATTGTCGTTTTTCAAACATATTAACTACTAGCTGACATATAAGAAGAAGAAAAAAACAACATTGTAAATTATTTTATGTTTGTTTTAAAATAAAAACAAAAAAAGAAAATAAAACAATCAAACAAAAAACAAGCAACAAAAACAATTATTGTCTTTGAAAAGCTAAAATCAAAATAGAATTACTGTTCATTACAAATACACACACACACACACACACACACACAAAAGAAAAAGAAAAGCAACAACAATTTGTGAGAAAAAATGTAAAACTGCAGTTATTCGTTGTATTATAAATAGGTGATATCTAGTTTTTTTATTTTTATTTTTCTAACAACATTTTTCAAGACTAATACAACGATATACAATAAATAAATATATTTTCAGTATAAACTTATCACAGCGTATACGTATTGCAATACGAAAGTAACAATAATAAGTTATTTGATTTCTCTTAGTATCCTAAAAATGAAATACAGTTGTTAACATATTCGATTTTGTTTATTATTATTTATGTTTAAAATTAAATCATATTTAATAATTTTAACAATTTGAATTTTCTTAAATTTAAGGATTACACGGCTTCAAGTTCATTTGAATCTTCTAAAACAGGTGGTACTCGTGGAATAATCATTCCAGTAAGAAATGGTTGATGCATTGGTGTATCAACACTACTCTGACGTCTAACATAAAATGGTGTCGTTTGTGTATGTGGATTTTTTGATTCTAAAATTAAAATAAAAAAAAACATAATAATAAGTTGTTGTTTTTTTTCGAACATTTAACAATTTTCAAATTGCTTGAATCAAAATATCTATTTTATGAATAATTATTGAAATGGATAATAGATTTTAAAATAAATCTACTTTAACGCCTTAGGTAGGAAAAAAAAAAGAAAAAGAAAAAAGAAGAGACACTTGATTTTCTTTTTTTAGATAGATCGCTAACTGAAGTAAGTAATACAACGTTAATTACTTTGAAAGAATTTTGCAATCTTCTTTTGTTTTTTTATTTATCAAAATTCTTGTCTTTTTTTTTTTATTTTCTAAGCGTTTTCTTATGTTTTATTTTTCTTTTATTTGCAAAAAAACATTTTTCATTATGAAAATAAGAAAAACAGATTGTAGTGAAGTTTGTTGAGGAAGAAAAAAAAAAAAATGCTACAACAGGAGATTCTGCTTTATTCCTTACTGACGACAAAAAATAAAACAAAAAAGAAAACAAAAATTTATTCATATGCAAACCAAAAAGAATTAACAAATATGAATATGGAATAAATTTAGTTTAAGAATGATGGTGTGCATTTCCTTTCTAGTAAAAGAAAAGGAAAAAGATGTGTATAATTCATTTTGATTATTGACGGAAAACGTCAATCAAATAAAGCATGAGTTAAGTCTCTCCGTTCGCTTTCTTCTTATCTCTCTCTCTCTCTCTCTCTCTCTATCTATCTATCTATATAACAGGAGAGTTGAGATGAAGAGAAAGACATAATATTACACAGAGATATCACTCTCCTATGACAAGATACTATAGTTGATCATAGACATGATATCTGTTAACATCAACCATTAGTACTAGAAAATAAAAATATCTTCATTATTTTATGATGAATTAAAACAACAAAAAAAAAAATGATAATCAAAAAAAATTTGTGTCATATTTAGTTAAGAAGTATTCCATACTGTCTAGAAAATTAAATAAATAAATTCTATTTTTCTTCTGTGATTTTTTTCTTATATTGTTTAAATTCATAGTCATTTGGATGCTCATTCTAGCTGAAAAACTTCTATATACACAGTATTTTTTAAAAAGAAGGAAAAAAATATATAACATCCATTAGAATGACTTGTACAAAATAGAAAAAAGAATTGGACTGTGAAATATTGACTGAAAAATCAAAAACTTTTTTTGTTTTTAATTAAGAAAAATTCTGTCAAGTAAAATTGAATAGAAATTTAATGTGTTGAAAACTAGATAAATGTCATCGATTATATTTTTTCCTAAAGAGTTTTAGTACAAAATCTTAGTGATGTTCGATTACTTTTCTAATTTAATGAATATATAGTTAAATTTGTATAAATTAAACGTTCATGAGATTAACTGAATTATAAATAGAGATGTTAGTCGATCAAAAATGTCAAAAAAACTTTATGTATGTGTATCTATATATGTTTGCTCATGCGAAATATTTCATATTAACAACTCATTTTGCCTTCGAGCTCGATACAACAACTAACTATAATTGTATGGAGGTTATATAATAATCCGATTCAGAAAAAGAAAATGAGATTTTTGTTAGAAAAAAAAAAAAAAGTCAAAAAATATATTTTTAATTAACACTTATATTATTCAAAAAAAGTAAAATTTTTATACTTGAATGAAGGAAGAGTAGAGAGAAGAAGAAAAAAAAAGGAAAGAAAAAGAAATCTACTATAATAATTTCGAGATCTTCATAAAAACAATAATTGTCTCTACATCAATTTTTTGATTGATCGTGACGTTGTTTAACTAACATGGAAAAAAAACAAAAGCTGATTTACTACAAGTAATCGTCATCTATATATAGAAGATAGAAGAAAGGAAATAGAGAATTAGAAAGCATATACATAGTGAATGTATGTTTGATTATTATTTTTCTTATATATATATATATATCACATATATATATATATATGACGGCGGAAATGTGCTGACAGATAATTCATCTACACTCACCTGCCAATTGTATAAATATTAATCCCCATCGGATAGACCATATCCAACCGACAATAAGAAATATTGTTGCTATTTGTAATATAGCTGCCAAGATATTGTAGAAAAATGCCAAAATATTTTTTTCATATTCATGTTTACCACAACAAAATACAGAAAAACTCGAAATTAATGTACCTAAAATTGAAGAAAAATAAATACATGAAATTAACACAAAACAAAAAAAATTAAAATATTTCTTCTCTTAATAATTGAAAATAGGTAGGATGTATTTTTTCTTTTTTTAATTAAATCTTATTTTTCAGTTAGAAGTCTCGTGCAATTTTTCATAACAATAGAATTTGCAAATAAATTTATAAACAAAGATATTCCTCCATCAATTTTTTTGTTTTGTTTTATTTTTTGACCAAGTGAATCTTGGTGTGTAACTGTCTTATGCTAACTGTTAATAAAATACTATGGAATATTATTCTCTCTAATAGAGAATAACACAAAGATAATGACAACGTATGTTGAAATATAAACAATCAACATCGTCTCTATCACATGATAATGACAACTAAAGACACAACGAATATAAATTCAAAGTTATCATATGACTATAGAGAGACAGAGAGAGAGAAAAAGATAGACAAAAAAAAATTGATTTCCAGATGGTTTTATCTCTTTTTTTCTATATAAGAATACGATATAACGATTTCCCGTTAATGAAATGATTAAGGTCAATATTACTAAATCAACGGGATAACTCAATAAACTTGAAGTGTCAGATAAAGAAAAAAATGAAAATAATGATGAGCATGTAGGTGGATTTATTGAAAGAGAATAATAAAATGGATGAATTTTATACATTAGAAGATATGATAAATTATTCTAAAATTTATTTTAAAAATTTGTAGATTTTTGTTGTCTTTGTAAATTTATTCCAAAATAACATGTCAATATAGAAAAAATTATTATTATTATTATTATTATTATTTTTTGAAATCTTTTATTGTTACTATTTCTATGTAAATATACTTGTTAAAGAATAGACAGAAATATACGTATAGTATCAATTTTATCATTCAACATTCGTATTGATTTAATTATATAAGGAAGGAGTATATTTCATTATCTGGATAAAGAAAGAATTTATTCTTCTTTTCTTTTTTTTTTTTTGCTTATTTTTCCATTCGATCTCTAGAGCATTTCGTCGAACGAACATCCAAACAACTATGAGATAACAAAAACATATATTTATTTACATATAGAGTAATATTGTTATCAAAACGTTTTCTTTTGTTCATAGGGAAGAAGAAGAAAAAAACCTAATGAATTTCTTTTCTTTTATTGTTTTTTTTTTTTTTTTTTTTTTTATAAAAATAATATTATTTTAATTTTTGGCCCCCATCATTTTTAATATTGGAAAAATTAAAGCGCAAAAAAACTTGCAATTTGTTGTGTTTCCCAGTTTTTCAACCCCCAGAAACGAATT